GCCTTCGTCTCGCCTGCCTCCTACGATCACCCCCTGAGCCATCCTCTAGACTAGAGAAAGGAGTGGCTCCCTCCTCTCCTTCCTCCCGCCCCCGTCACTGTCGAGGCCGCGTTCAGCAAACTCGGAGTCGCATCACGAAGCGCGGCCAACACGGGGCACTGCATCACGGAGTGGCTCGCGTCTTGGCAGAAAACACAACCAGACGGAGCTTGAGTACCCCCAGCGGCTGCAGTCGGGCCTCCACCGTTCTGGGGCCTGTCACACTCGACCGCGATATGACCAAACGCGCCACAGCGCCTGCAGCTCATCGACGCGCGCTTGCATGTAGCGCGACCATGTCCCATGAAGTTACAGCGACCACACACAGGCGAACCGTCCTGCGTGCGACTATCATCGCCCATCCGAATGCCCCGGAATGGCTGAGCGTTCCCTGGCCCACGACCGTTTCCAGCGGGCTGAGTGGCAGGGGTGGCGGCCACTACCGGCGCTCGATTGCGAGGCGACCTAGGCGGCTGCCACTGGCGCTGCATAAGTTGCTGTTGCCACAGTTGTTGCTGCTCCATGAACGACTTCATCTGCTCAGCGAAGGCCTCGACCGCAGTCGTCGCGGGGGCCTCCTCCGACTTCTTGTTCTTCTTCTTGGACTCGCTGTCCGAGAACTCGTCGTCCTCCTCGATCGGACGGTGCATGTCCTTGAATATAAGCCACTCGTACGCCTCCGGAATGTCCGACGCGGGACTCGCGTCCAAGGTCGCCAGCATGCGCTTGTTCCGCAGTCCTCGGCGGAAGAGCTGGTACCGCATCTGCGGATTCGGGTAGTCGAGGGACTCGCACAGGTCCGAGACTCGGTCACCCCACTCCTCCACGGACTCTCCGCGCTGCCTCTTCGTGTTCTCTAGCAGCTCCCACAGCTCGTCAGCCGTCCGGCTGAGGAACTGGTTATGGAACCGCACCTTGAGCGTCATGAACGACTTGATCCTCGAGTTGTTCCACCACCGGTCAGCCTCGCGGCCTTGCAGCTTCTGACGGAACACCAGCAATCTGGACCGGTCGGGGAAACCGTCCGTGTGGTTCTCGAAGAGCTCCCAGAAGTCCCGCGCCTTCTCCACCGTGGCCGTGTCCGACTGGAATATCGGCAGCACCTTCACGGTATGTGAGTACATCGTAGACAGGTTGTATGCACTCGTCGAAAGTCCACTGGCACCGCGCCAACTCGCCGACGGTGCAGCCGTCGGAGCCGGCGGAGCCGTACCCGTTCCAGGCGTCCGACTTGCCGTAGGGCCCGTTGTAGGTTGCATGGGCATTCCGCCACCGAGCGGCTTCGAGGACCCAGCCGGACTACCGGCGAACAGCAACTTCTTCACCGGAGGGGGCGACTTGGTCGGCGACGTCACCACGCTTCCGCTCCCACTCCATCCTCCATACTCGGGGGCCTTCCCCGACCATGTTGAGCGCTCCAGCTCCATCCGAAGGCAGGGCGATCCGTTCGGCGGGCCTCGGGACCCGTGTAGCGGCACTCGGGCCTCGCTGCGTCGGGACCGGCTCCTCTATCGCGTCGTGGTAGTCTTCGTCGTCGTCGGCGTACGTCCCGTAGCCGTACCCATAGTCCGCCGGCTGAGCGTAGGGCTGCCCACACTCGACCGTCCCATCGGACTCGAGACCGGTGGCTCCGGCTCGCCCTTCACGGCGGGCTCCGCCTTGACCTCCGCCACGGTCTCTGTCTTCATTCCAGCCGAGGTCACCGGCTGGACTCCAGTCGCGGTCTCCGTCTTGACCGCCTCCTTCTCTTCATAGTCTTCGTCTTCTTCATCTTCCCGGAGCTCACGCATCACATCCGACACGGACGCTCCCTCTTCAGCATACTCAGCGGTCTTCCTCCACCGCTCCAGACTCCTCAATCCCTCTTCAACTGGGTCCGGCGCGCCCGTTCCAGCCGGACTGGGCGGCGGCAGGGCCCCTAGCCGCTGGGTCGGCGGCGGCGCAATCCCGATCATCAGCATTCCGGAAGCCGGTGTCGAGGGCCTCTGCCGACGTCGTTCGGCACGCTCTGCTTCGGTCCGTGCGGCGCGCTCTGCCTCGGCGCGCTCAGCCCGCGCTCTTTCTTCTTGTTCAGCCCGACGGCGTACTGCTTCCTCAGCGTTACCGCCTCTTCCTCCTTGTCCTCCTGGCATCTTCTCTTCTCAGTTTACCGTTCCTTGTTCACTCTCAGTTTACCGTTCCTTGTTCACTTGACCTCTTGCTCTTGACCGTGCACACTTGGCTCTTGTGTCTACATTACCGTTCCCTTGTCCTACTGGCCTGGATCGCTCCTCTCACTGCTCCTCGACGCCGCTTTTTCCGCGCGGCGTGTGCTCGTGTGCGGACTCCTGGGTCCTTCCCTGGCACACTTTAAACACGAGGAGGGGGGTCACACGTCCAGTCACCAGGTCCAGACGCTCGGCTCTTGACTCTGTTCACTTCCGGGCACAGGCTCTCAGCACTGTTCACTCCACAGTCGGCAACACTACCCTGCTTCTCCACCACGTGTCGCGAGTCGCTTTGTCGGACCGGTTTGGGGCCGGCCGCCGCTGTATAGGAGTAGTAAGTGCTGCCTGTGCTTATAGGTTTATGGGGCACAAATAGCAAGGAGGTCACTAAGCAAAATGCAATAAGTGCTCCATACGACCTGTGTGGTCCTTTTAAGCAAAATTCACGACTGACCTTCCTTCTACTCCTAACTCTTCCTCTCTACCTCTGCAGATCCTTGCGTTTCAGCGCCTTCGGGTGACTCCGTTCCCGCTCACCCCTCCCAAAGACTTGATCCGTTCACCTTGACGGCCCTCAAAGCCGCCTAACATGCCATCCGTCCCCGAAGTCCCGCCACGACACGGCAAACACATCTTCCCTCCGAGATACCTCCGGGTAGCGACCCACGGGTCTCCACCTTAGAGACAACCCGGCCCACGGCCCACAACTTCTCGCCCGCATCCACAGCAGGTGGACGACCTCAGGCACTCATCGTCGCCCACGCAGAGATGGAACGGTCCGAGCCGTTCCGACTCGGGACATCTTTACGTGGTTCTTAGTTTGGCTTGGACGAACTTCCTGAGAGTCACGGTCGTCGTGACACTTAGTGCGTATCCTAATTAGCACCATCAGTGGCATTTTTTACCACAACAATCCGGCTATCTCCTTTCTGTTGTTTTCCGCTGCAACCATGGAGGCATTTTTCACCATTGCGGCCGATATACCTGACTTAGTCAGCGAAATCTCGACAACGCTAACTCTTCCGTCGGCTGATGCTGCCACGAGTTTTTCACTGATACTTTTTAGGAAGGTAGTCTTGGTTGTACAATCTGGTAGCATCCGTTATCAACACCATTCGACTCGACCTCGATGACCACCTCAAGACCGAGGTGATCGTCGGCACGCATGGACTTTACTACTCCAGGAAAATTCGTGTCAGCAAATAAAAAAAAACGGTCAAATATTGCGTTCTACATGTATTTGTAAATAACAGCCACAGCAAAGTGCGACAGATTGCAGTGGCGGTATCTGTGCCCAAGACATTCGTACATACTCGCACAACCGCAAGTCGGTATGATGCCGATCACTAGTGCAGAAAGCGTCACCAGAGTTTAGACGAGTTTTTTTTAAGCCACCCAGAGAGACATTCGTAAAACTCAGAGGCAGTGGATGATCCACTCTTTAGCATCTCGCTCATCAATTGGACCAGTTACTGGATAGTTTCCTGGGTCAATTCTAGCAAGACTATTTTTCAGTGACGCGAAGGCGATCATGAACGTTACAGGCCATCTCGGCCTCCACGATCAAGGTTGGAACTTCAGAGAGCAAGGTGGTGTGGAAATTACCTGTGACTATCCGGAAATCGCCAAAGGGGAAGGAGCGGAAATGCTTGTGGACTTCTGACATGGAGATGAGGAGCAGTGTCTGAAAACCTACGCGCGGATTGTGTACAAGTTAATCTAGAGTTGTGCGAACGGTAAGACTTAGTGCTGGCTGATGCTGACATCTTGCCGCAAAAGATGTTCAATACCATTTTTGCGCGGCTCGATATAGGCATATTGATTCGATATCTTTGCTGGTCGGAGCACACATATACTCTTTGCAGTCCGTTGAAAAAGCCGGATGCGGGCACTTTTAGGTTACGACATTCATGTTGGAAAACGCGTACGCCCCTTGCTTTCAGTCATTTTTGCTTTCAATAGTGCGCTTAGACTTGAGCTAAGACAGGGAGTAGCACAATCAAGATCGAGCGGGTGCCACAGAGGATTGGCAAATGGTCGATGAAGCTATTGTACTGGCCATAATAGTTGAAGCCGGGTTTCGGAGTCATTTTTCTCCCAGAAGATGGTAACTTTCCATATACGATAGTTAGGTATAAGGGGTAATTTTCGCCGTAGATTCCGATTCTGCTGTCAGATTTGACGAATTCGGACTTGATGTATGCGTAATTAAGCCTTGAAAACATGACCTCAATTGCTCAAAAGTTTGGGGAAAGGGCTCAAGTAGGGTAAGCCAATGACAAACCCAAGGACATGAACACTATTGGCTTAACCCTTTCGGTACCACGTGCTGTATCCTACAGGATAAAAGTTTTGATATCCTGTAGGATACAGGATAGGATTACAAGCATAACCAATATAAGTGAGGGTATACAATCGCCAAATCACCTGTCTGGCATTAAGTTTCAGAGTGTTGTAGCTAACCTTGCGTCAGTAATCCGACAGTAGTACAATAGCGGACAAACCCTCTCCTCTCAGGCACGCACCTGGTGCGCTTCCCTCACGTCTCATTCAGAAACGCGCCAAGTCGATCTCATATCTCGAGATAACCATGACGGAGCTGTCTTTCCCCGCAATGTAGCGGAACCTTCGTGCTCGAGGGTGGCGCCACCAGCCGCCGCGCGGCATATCGACAATCACAAAGTACTACACGCCAAAACGGGTGGACCACCAAGGCGAACGCTGAGCGTCGGGTCGACGTCTTTTGGGGAGAAGATGAACTACTGCGCTTTGTTCCCGAGCAAGGTGAGATCTAACAAATTGGTAAAACTAGAACACTCGGTAGCATGCTAACGATAGAATAATGTCTACAGACGCGCTGGAACCGCCACCAAAGCGGCCAAAGTCGGGAAGTGGTTCACCGACTGTGCCTCCAACACCACTGCCAACACCGTTCACCTATTCACCGCACCTCCCAGACTCACGGTCGACCGCCCCAGCACGAGCACGCTCCAGCACTGCTGATATATCTCCAGCTTTGGCTACACCCGCGTCGATTTCGTCCTCTACGGCTACGCCAGCTCGACATCGTTACAAACCGGTACACCAACTTCGACGCCGTCTTCGGCAGCGGCGACACCGACCCGCCGGGTGCTCCCTATGACGACTCCAGCACGACATGTACTGGAGCCACCAAGAGACCACCGCACAGAGCATCGGCCACGACCTCGGCAGGCCCGGTCACCATCAAGCCGGGCTCCTGTAAGGCGATCGCCATCCCACCAACTGGACCACCTGATGTAGCTGCGGCTGACGATGGCATCTTTCTCGAGTCAGGGGAGGAGAAGGACTATTCCGTTGACGATGAAGTTAGCGATGACGATAGCATCTTCCTCCCCGGCGAAGACAGCGAAAGCTGCCTATCTACTACGTCTACTGTATGCTCCCGCAAGCGCCGAAGATTTGTCCAAGTCTGATCTGCGCCTTCATACCCTCAAAGGGTGGGATGTCCACATGGACGACTCGAGTAAGTATTATCTGTATGATACAAGAGAAGTATACCAAGCTAATTATCTTCTCATGTATGCTACAGGTCATGACGTTCAGCTTTCAGCGGCTCAGCTGACTCAAGCCCAAGCGGTTCCTAGTGACACCGCCGAAGCTATCGGTCTCAACCTCGAAGGTCTCTTTTTTATGCTTCCGAAAGCCTTGTGGGTGACCATCGCGGATGCGTCGAATGACTACCAACGCTGGCAGCGGAACGTTTCTCCTGATCAGCTAGCAGTGTGGAATCAACGCCGACGGGCTCGCAATCCGGCCTTCAGACCAATGAGCGCCACCCAACGGCAGCGATAAATGGCTAGGTTCAAGAAGATCCAGCCCCACGAGGTTGTCAATTTCATTGGGCTGCTCTGCGCACGTGCGCTATGCCCTCATCGTGGGAGATTGTCACGTCACTGGGCTACGAACGCGCATGGTGCCGTCCCAAAAGGCACCTTTGGCAAGTATATGGCCCGCCATCGGTTTGAAGAAATCATTCGGTATCTACACTTCAGTAGCAACGACGCTCCGGAGGCGCGACGAGTAATGACGTGGAAGATCAAACCAGTCGCCGATGCGATCAATAAGAGCTTCAGGAGTGGAATGACGGTGGGACCGCGAATTGCGTTTGATGAGGGCATGATCCCAATGCGAAGCCGTTTCAACCCCATGCGGCAGTACCTGAAGGCTAAACCCCATCCGTGGGGACAAAGTGCTATATGACGTGCGACTCGGCGTCGGGCTACTGCTACAGGGCCGCGATCTACCAAGGGAGAGAAGCGGGTGATCGACAGGACCTTTTACCGTCAGAGTATGCTGTGCTACGCAATATAGACAGCGTTCTACAAGGGCAACGGAATCGACTTAACATTACAGACCGTTTTTACACAAGTGTTCTCCTCTCCTCGCTGCTTCTCGATCGTGGCCTCTACCACGTCGGGACCATTCGCACGGATCGCCTTGGGTTCTGCACGAGCATCGTCTACAAGAAGAAAGAGCCAAGAGGTCCTCGGGGATCTTATCGCATTGCACAGTCTCGCGTTTTTTCGAATATGGCTGCCGTCACATGGATGGACAATAAGCCAGTCTACTTCCTCGTTACAGGATGCTCAACGGCGCTTACAACCGTGGGGCGACGCAATGGTGCCCACATTGACCAAGTGCCTGCTCCCCCAACTGGTTCGAGACTACAATGAAGGAATGGGGGGAGCAGATACACATGATCAAAAACGCCTCCAGCGCTTCTCAATTCAGCGATCGGTGCGGTTAAAGAAGTACTACCACACAATATTTGTCGGGTTGGTCAACATGGTATGGTGAACATGTACATCATCTACTCGAAGCTGTTTGCACGCAAGTACCCGGACAAGCCCGTACCCACAGACTGTCAGTTCATGGAGGAGATGCAAATGACGTTGCTGGGTGTTGGTCCTAGCGACTTTGAAGGTGACATCTCTCTATAAGCTATGTTTGGCAGCCTCGTTCTGCCGCACCTACCAGGCACGAGCTGGAACAAGTTCAAAGTTATCGGACCGTCCGAGTGGGGGGTCAGTACGCATGTAAGGTTTGCTCTATCTTAAGACGCGCATTGCACAAGCCAGCATGGGAGACAACGTACATTTGCCGGACGTGTTCCAACGCACACGGTGGCGACGTCATCTACCTCTGCCAGCGCGCCCGACAGCACGATCCTTCCGGCCCCGTGAATACGGCAACGTGCAGCCAGATTTGGCATGATATGTGGCGAAATGGCACGGTTACGCCTGAAGGCGTTCGCTATCGTCGTCGAGCACCACAGGATGAACGAGGTAGTTCTGCAGCTTCGAGTAGCGAGGATAATGGAGAATAGGAGCTGTAATGAATGATGTAATACAACACTCCGATGATTGCTAAGTACAAAGACAGCGCGTGGGGGGCCCTGATTGAGGTAGTGTAGGCCTACACGTAGGCAGTAACTAGGTCAGCTCATCACCTTCAACTGACTGAAAAAAGATCGTAACGCAGCATCTACAGGATACCAGGCTATGCTTGGTTGTCGATATCCTGTAGGATACACTACATAACTGCGGTTAGGGAAACTTCTTGAAGATGGTGCCAAAAACTCCGCAAATACTAAGACCAAATACGCCACAATCCTGTAGGCTACAGGATAAAATCGATCAAAATCGTGGTACCGAAGGGGTTAAACGGCAAACCATACGCCAAAACAGACGGTGGTTAGGTGAATTGACTACATTCGCCCTGAGATTGCCAACTTGCCCTTTGTAACATACCGTCGTGTTTGCATAGGATTTGTATTTGATTTGACAAGCATGGATAGCATTTTTTATGCTGTGTTTCGGTAGTCGCTATTCCGGGAGAAAATACAAGTTTAAACAGGTAGTTGATATGTACCGTTAAGTATCCGAAGGATGCCTCGGCGACGACTTCGAGGAAGTTTGCTGGATTTGGTACGCGCTCCTGACGCGAAACGCCCTGCTCACATCGGGGCCAATACACTTCACTAACACTTCGCGCGCTTACCGCATCGTCTTAGGCTTTCCTTTCATTGTTAGGTTCGAAGATTCATTCATAGTGATTACGGCAACTCCCTCATCGGCATTTACTTTCAGGCCAATATCCATTCGTTAGGCCCTGGTGCCTTGCGCTACACTCTTGTTGTGCGTAGTTGAGATCATTGCTCTTCTTTTGAGGGTCTTTTGAGGTCCCTGGGCCTAAAAATAGCTAAGCTATCGGTGCGAGCGTCCGCGTGTTATAATCTCCGGCTTCAACTATTTTGGCCAGTACAATAGCAAAAACCAATCAATTGTCATAAAACGTATGGTCCTGAATTTCCCAGTCTAAGTACGAAATACCCTTCAATCGTCAGTCCCTTTGCCACGATGAGCAACATCGCTGGCCCAAGCACCTGCCTGGCAGGCTTCCAGTATGAGCGTCTACGTGACATCCGCCTCCCCCCGGAAATCGAAGCGCTACCACACGTGCTGCAACAGCTCGACCTGCTGCTAATGACACACGTCGAGGCAGTGGAAGAGGCCATGCATACGGGCCAGATGGCGTGGGTCAAGCAACTGCTGCCGACATTTAGCTACGACCACCTCGAAGTGCTCATCGTCGCGGCCCAATGCGGCCACCTGGACATCGTCAAGTGGCTGTCAGCAGAGGTGAGGAGCCACGCGTCCGACGTTGAGGCGGACGGGAAACTCGAATATAACGCGCTGGACATACTGGAGGAGGCAATTATGAATGCCGGGGGCAATGGCAGACTTGAAGTCGTCAAGTGCCTCATGTCCGAGGTGAAAATTAGCTCCGATGAGGAAGACAACGAAGTGGACATGCTGAACGAAGTGGCGTGGAGGGTTTTGGATCTGGCAACACAGATGGGCCGTGTCGAGGTGGTCAAGTTTGTCGCTGAATACGCGCGAGAGACGGAGGAAACGGGCCCCGCGAGTGAAATGTCAAGAGCGCTGTCCAATGCAATTGACAATGGACATAAAGACGTGGTGAAGGTTTTGATTAGTGCCCCTCAATTCCATTGGGAAATGGCTCCAGCCTTTAAGCAGGCGTTGATGGCCCGACAGCAAGGCATCGTGGAGATAATCTATGAGTTGCACGCGGGATCTGTCGAAGGGCAAGGAGGAGAATTGATTGTGCATTTGGCACGTGGGGATGGAGAGGAATATTTGCGGAACAGGACGTGGGCTGAGTACCAAATGGTTCTGAACGCCTTCATCTGTGCTTCGTTGTGCGACCGAGTCGACATCCTCGATGTGCTGCTTGAGTCTGAGTACGCGCCCGAGAAGTTGTTCGATACTGGTTTTCTTTGCGCAGCCCGGTATGGATGCATTGACGCAGTATCGTTCCTTCATGGTAGACCACAGTGTTCAATGTGGTCAGTTGAAAAAGCTTTCGAGAATGCCGGCACTCTTGAGGTCACGAAATTTCTGCTCGAAAACACCTACGTCCATCCGGATTCCGTCATCTCTGCCTTTAGAAGTGCACTGGGGCTCGAGCAGAGGCAACTGGGCAGTACTCACAAGGTCGAGTGCAGTGCCATTGCCGTATTCTTGCAGAACCAGCAGTGTATCCCAGCTAGAGTGATCAATGAAGCTTTTCGGATTGCTGCTGCTTCAGACTTTCCCGCGGTAGTGAAATCCATGCGTGGCGACGACCGTCTGCGCCCCGAAGTGGTTATCGAAGCCTTCTCCAGTGCAGCAGATGACGGGCGCTACCAGATTGTGCGAGCGACGTATGATGAGTTGTTGCTGACCAAGCCAGGCATAGCGGCCACTGTTATGAGAAACGCTTTCATCGCTGCAGCGGGAAGCAACCGAAAAGAGGTTGCGAGATTGTTGTGGAAAAAGGGAAAGATGCCGCCGAGCGTACTTCGAAGCGCACTCGAGGTTACGACAAGTGTGAGTCTCAAGAAGGCTCTTCGAGCAAAACTGCGAAACAAGTAAGATGTGCCGGCGCACATGTCTGCCGGAAAAGCTTTCCGTCAATATTCATTAGCACAAAACTAGGGCTCCGCGAAGGCTGGCTGGGATAGGAGGTTTTTGGGATAAACTCCTTTATTACATTTTTTACGATCCACAGTCTCCTGCGGCTGCGAAGCAGGCTGCGAAGCAGCCGCAGGAGACTGTGGATCGGTCCACACCTGCACGTTCTCAAACGTAGCGTCACCCGATGCAATCAGAGCAATGCCGTCCGACTTCGTCTGGCTGGCGCACGGGTAGATGCGTGCCGACAGCGCGAAGCGGTCGTTCACGAACACCTCGACGCACGACACGTCCACAAACACGTGAAAACGAAGCTTCTCGCGCTTAGTTTCGCACACGTCGTTGGTCGAATTACCCGTGAAGATGTCGTACAGGTAGAAGTAGCTCCACACTGAGGTCGAAGTAGGGGTCACACCATTGTCAGCGAACACAGCGCAAGTAGCCGACGAGCTGTTCAAGCGATCAATGACCACCTTCTCTGCGTCGTCGTACACGATGGCCGTTACCTCGTCGCCGGTGCTGCTGCGGCGAACCTCGAAGCCGGCATTGCTGCCGCGCTCGAAGTCCGGTACCTCAGCGATCAACTCGAACGACGCACCCGTCGAGTTCAGCACCTGTGACGAACCGTTCAACTTCACGCTGGGCACCGCCTCATACGCGTTTTCGTTGCGCAGCAGCTGCAGGTCGCTCAGCAGCTTCAGGCCCAGAGTCTTGATGGTCTTGCTCTGCTTCGTCGAGCCATCAGCGCACGATACGTCCTTCGTGTCGGACACGATCCAGTCGCCCTTGCCCACGAGGTGCTCGTCGATGTCGTAGATGTCACGGACGATGGTGATACCCACCTCAAGTGGCAGTGAAAGAATGCCGTCCCAGCCCTGGGGCTGGCCGTCCGAGAACCCGGTGCTTTCGATGATCCAGCCGATCAGCACGTTTTTGCCGTCCTTGTCAGTGTTGGCGTACCAGGAGCTACGGTCAGACATGCCGACCATCAGAGGGGTAAAGAGTCCCGCCTCTGAGTCGGTCTCGACACCGCAGCCAGCTCCGGAGATCGAGCCCGTGGCCTACATCGCGTACTGCGTCGGATCGTTCTGGCCGGCGAACACCATCGTTGTGGAGCTCACCGTCCTCGTCCTCCATTTCACGGTAAATGGTCATCTCGCAGGGATCCGTAAAAAAGAATTGCAATCGTACAATTTTGACTATGTACTCGCACAATATTGATTCATGCTCTTTCGTAAGACGATACTTAGCCCCAGAGAGCCTGACAAAGCGTCTTACGTTTTGCAATCAACGCATTTTGGCTACATCTTGGTTTTAGTATATCAGTGGCTACATTGTATTTTGTCCGTCAAAACGTAAGACAGTTTGTCGGACAACAATTTGCACCATGCGATTGGCCAAAACTTTCAGAGGGTAGTGTCGTTGCGTGCGTTCCTCCGTTGAGCATGTAGGAACCCGGGGACAACCGCTTTGCCGTTTTTGAATTGCTCGTGCCACCTACAGTCGAGCCGACGAAATAAGGCGCTCACAAGCACGAACATGTAGTCGGTAGTGCGGCCCTACTGCCAACTACAATGTACACGCTAGTTTGAGAATGGTTAAGAAATAAATGCACCCGAACCATTAGCCCAGGTTGACAAACAAAACGTTCAGGGCTTTATAGTGAATTCTAGTTAATGCACAACCAAATAGAGCCCCTCTTCCTCCGGTAGTGCGGCCCACGAACCCTGTCGTGTCCTCTGAGGACGCCTCCGAGCGAAGCAGTGCACGACGAGCGCGCACACATGCTCCGCACCGAGGCGTTGTCGGAGTACGCGAGGGAGTAGACAATCAGTACATTATGGGATCTTACCAAAGTCATGAAATGAACAGTTTTGGAGTAGCAACAAGGCAGCGTCAGCCAGTCTTGGTATTTGTATTTGTATTTGTATTTGTATTTGTTGCGGTTTGCTTGGCTACCTTACTCCCGGAGGCGCACACTGCTGCAGCTCCACCTACGTCGGTAGTGGACACCACCGACCTCACCCGCGGCCACGTGTAGGTAAGCTGTTGGTGGTGTCGCAAACAAATAACTACAAAACGACGTGAGGGCCTCTAAGAGTCAAATGAGCGGCGAAACTTCTCGGGAATACATGAAAAATGCCAAAGCTAAAGTAATTGATCAGCCCGGCTAAAGGCGCTTACCAGTTTGCTCGGCCTGTTACTGTAGTACTAGGAAATCTAAACGATCTAAGTTCGCCGTGGTGTTTTAAATATGTAGAGGGAGTTTGTTGGTCCTTCTATTGAACCGCCAATCATTACTACCACTACTATGCTGCGCCCGATATTAGTCAGGATACGAAGTGCAACGAAATGCATCAAAAAGAGTAGCGAAGAGGAACGCAGGCCTTCCTAGCAGAGCCTGCGAGCACTCTGCGCCTGGCAGTGCCAACAGAATTGGCAAGTCGTACTATTCGCCAATCAAATCACTAGATTTGATTTGTGGTCAAACTGTCTTACGAATGCTCGACACAAGTGATTGTCGAGACCCTCGGCAATATTGTACAGAAGCGACCAGCATCTCAGCTGTGGACCAGCCTGGTATTACCGCATAAACAACACGTGGTACCAAGAACGAACCGAGATTGTATCTCTGTGGAATATAGTCAGGTGTATCACACTGCACCTTCGATGGACCGAACGAAATCACTACTGTTTTGAGGAGAAGGACCCTGAATCACTCGACACCACTACCACCGCAATCTACAATACTTTCGGTGCTTGCTGCGGGTCCCGAACGCGCTCGCAAGCACGGATGACAGACAGGCCCCTCGCTTGTCGATAGCGTTTGGGGTCCGACATGTAGGTAGAGTCGGTGCTGTCGGTAATAGCAATGGAGGTGAGCCCCATCAAACGATGACAAGCCGGACTGGGATACCAAGCAGGAATGCCGAGAAGCTCTGCAGGTGAGCCTTCCGCGGGGAATCCAGAGGATATTCGTTCCTGGGACGGCATCTACCTGAACGGAAAGTCATGAAGCGCGGCGGCGCCTGACTCACGGCTGCAGTGGAGACTGTCGGTCTTACTTCGAGTGATGGACAGATGGTGGTCTATTCAACGCCGGAATGCCGTGGCGTGTGTCGACGGTGCTGCGCAGCGTCATTGGCGTGCGCTGTCGCCAATGCGGGCCCCAGAATACAGCACGTCAACACGCGAGCCCCTTGCGCACCAAGGTGTCCACATAACCATCCTTTTCGGCTGCCTGCTCCATGGCATCGCACGACGTGCTGTGGCAGCCGCCCGCGCTCAAGTCAGCACGAAATTCCTGACAGAAGGAGCCATCGGAGCAACAGGATCAAAGCAAACAAGCAGCAACTCCGAGTTTTACCGCCGCCACGCCAGTCAGTTACCCATCCTATCCGCCGCAGGGCTGTGGAAAATATGATTGCGATTGTAATCCAAGATTGTCAATCACAATACCTAAGTAATTGATTGTTCCGTGATCTCAATCGACAATCCCGTTCCCATATTGTCCCTTTACTGATTTTGAGGAATGGCGTTACAGCAACCATATGACGATAACACGACAGAAATTAAAGCAACCACAAGGCCTAAAGCAACCCTAAAACCAGCTGGCACCCGGTAATTTATTTTAAATGACGCGTAAATGACAGGGACACGTCGCCCTCGTCATGGTCTTGCTACATATATATCTAAATTTAGACACGTCGTGGTGGCGTCTAACTGATGTTCTCTACACAGCAATACGTGAAACACATGACAATATGTGTCCCACATTTTCAACACTTGGCAGATTTTGAGCGACAGCAAAAATGGAGAAGAAATCGCTGGCACATGAGCTGGTGCGCGCGAGAATCGCCGAGATTGCACTCCTCAAGAAGCTGGATGAGCTTACCGAGCATCTGGAAAAGCTTCTGGCAGCGCAGCTACAAATCTAAGCCCTCGTCGAAGATCGCGAAGTAAACAGCTATGCGTTAGCAGCCGTCTCGGGCGATGAAGGGGCCGACCAAGGTGGTCTCACCGCAGAGGACGACGCTGTTTCCCTCGATGTTCTACTGGAGCTGGCGGTGCGAAAAATGAAAGACTAATGCAGCATAGACTCTGTATTTAAAGGTAAATACAGACTGTGGTGTTTCTCAGAGCTGGTTCTGTAGCTGGTGATGAATCTGGCTAGTTTTAGCGACGTCGCGTTCAGAGAGATGACGTTCTTGGGAGTAACACATGATGACCCACAGCATTTTCAATCGCATCACCTTGACGTCGTTCTTGGAAATTCTAGAAAGTTGCATCTGCAAGTTCCCCGTAAGATAGCTGTGGGCTTGGGCTACTACCATTACACCACAGCTAGCAAAATCAGGTTGTTGAGGGGCACAGATCCGCTCAATCGGATCGAAGAAAAGATGGCCACGGGGGTCAGAAGCCTTGTGCCACCGCTCCACATAACCACGAAGCCCCTCCTTTCCTTCATTTTCTTTGTCTTTCGGAATTCCAGTCCACACGATTTCCATTTCATGGTGATAGTCATCATCAATGAGCGGCTCGTACATGTAAACATGCACCCGAAGCTTGCTTGTTTTTTTCGTGTAGCCTAGGCGAAGGATAATTACCCCCAGTGGTCTGCGTGCAGATTAACGGGGTGGATAATAAAATTTGTTGCTGCAAGTGCTGTCTTAGGGAGACTTGGCCATCCGATAGCCCATGTCAGTGATGACAGCACATGGCACTTCCCCACCGATCTCGCAAGGGTCTCCAAGCAAAAGTGCACAGGGCTATCATTTAGCCATCCACGACAGATCCCTCCCACGATGTTGTCAAAGCTGATCAGGACTTTGCTGGAGAGCGTCACAAATTCAGTGCGTAGCCGACTTGAAGTAAACTTTGAGATAATTTCGTTCGCTAGACCTTGGTGCCGCTCGGGAACAGCATCACGCAGTAGTCCTGCAGTTGCTGTCTCCGCAGCGAAAAGATCCACGATGGAGTTGATTTTACGCCAATCTTGCTCCAGCCACTTTCGGTCCTTCAACCATGAGGTACACTTCGCCTTGATCGCGTAGAATCCTGTTAGAGCACCTACATATTGTCTAGAAACATAAGCATGTTAAAGCAACCATATCGCTAAAGCAACCATATCGCTAAAGCAACCATACCCGCTAAATTTCCACAGTTTTGGATCAATCGCCTAGACGACGTCGAGAACAAGTCCTTGCTTCTTGGCCTTTTCATCCAGTACAATTGGCTGCTCCTCCTTCCGGGTAGTAGTCGTTGCTGCCTGCATTGATAGGGCGAGGTCTTGTGGAATTACAAATGTGTGCATGTAGTCCGCAGGTCGTACAATTTCCCAATGACAATCAATCTTCCGAGCTCTTAGATAGGCATCCTCCAGCTGAACAGGATACTTCGACAGCATCTGCATCACGCGCTTCAGATTTGAGGTCTTTCTGGCCCAAATCAGGAACTGATCCAAAGTCACGGCAAGTTCAGTGGGGTACTTGTGAACAGCAAGACGGTCGGCTTTGAGACTGATCGTAGTTTGCCTCAGCTGTTTCGGAGTTGACTTTGAGTTTCCTTGGCTTGGTGGCGTAGGAACTCTAACGACATCGACCTGGCGAACGCGCGACTCTGTGTCAGGCTTCGTAGAGCTTGAAACCTTGTCACAGCTACTCATTCCGCAGCTGTCATGAGATTTCTCGTCGATGGGGGGTCGAATTGGAGATGACTGCGAAAGGTGAGTGCGTTGTGTCGGTAACACACTTTCGTCGGACTCGTAATCGCCATAATTCATGGTCGTGGGGCTGCTTTCCAATGCGTCCATGAGCGTCATAGTCCCCATTGCCTCCACGGGGTCCAGAATGGAGTCTGAGACAGGTTCAGATACATCTTCTTCTTGCTTGCTATCTTCAGCAGATTCTGTAGAACTCGGTTGGGGGGCAGGGTTGACACGGTTGAGCCCTATGTCGATCGTTTCCTTCCAGGCACTTAGCTCTTGGTAGAAGTCTGCACTAGACAAATCTGACAGGTATTCCAATAGCGGTTCCAGCATCGCTTTTGCGTATGCGTATTTTTCAGCTGAAGACAATACAACCTGGTTTGCCCGTTCACCTCGCCGTAGCCGTACGTACGCGACTTGCTTCCTAGCTTTGATTGGCGAAGCGTTACCCCCCGCAGCATAAAGTGGTTGTTCTGGTTCAGCCCCAGTGTCGTTCGGCAACTTTACTTCCGGCAACCTTAACTTGGACATCTGCACAATTGGCTGTAACATTTCCGCTGCAGCCGTCAATTCGTTGTTCACTTCCAAGGTCTGCTACGTACTCCACCGATCATGAATTGCCATAGCTGGAAGCAGTTTGAAGCCTCGCGTGCTAAGTGCATAAGATGACGACATGGTAAATGGTGACTGCTATAAAATAGACAAGTACACGTCCACTCCACATCGTGACAGCGAAAGGTTTGATTCCCGCAATAAATTTTCCATTGTGAAGGACTCGACGCTGTACGCTCACAAGTCGCATCTGCCATGAAGTTCACAAATCGTTCCCACTCTTTTCTCACTTTCTCGAAGATGTCAGGGTACAGTCGAGTTGCTACCGTCCGGAGAAACATCGGTATGGTTTTAGGAACGGGCGAAGTCGAATGGTGCTGCGCGATGACGAACCCGATCTGATGAGTTATCATGATTTGATGCTGCACCAAGCCCGCAATAGTCTTGTCAATTCGTGTCTTGTGCCCCAACAGTATTTTCACTTGATTCCAGTTTGACTCGATCCTGTTCGTTGTAGTATTCGCAGCCGTGAAAAATTTGCTGCGAGCAAAGTTCGCCCACATGTCTCGACACGAATCCCAGTTCTGTTCAAAGTACGAGAATAAAGCTTGTTTCTTGTTGTCTTCGCAGTATTGCTTCTCTGCACCGTAACTAGAATCGTAACCTGTCTCTGTGGAGCTGCATATGGTTTATTTTCCAAAGTTAGCGTTACCACAAGAATCATAAATAGAACCTGTTGCGTACCTGTACAGCGTTTTTATCATCAGGTTGAGTAACTCGTCGCGTTCAGACACCTTCAGCTTGTATGGGGCCCGCTGCATCACCTTCTTCCAGTACGAAATGGCATGGAATTGACAAAGTAAAACTTTCGCAGCAGGAAATAGTGTTTTCAGCACCCTCCACTCAACGAAATCTTTGTCGATCACGATGGAGGATATCATCCGCCAACTTGGGTTCTTCTCTTGGAAATACTCCAGGATTGTTGTCATCATCGGAGCTCGTTGGTTGAGGCATATGAAGTCTACAACTGGGAACCCACTACCAGTAGCGGTTGTGACGACCAGACTCTCTGAAATATCCAACACACAACAGTAGAAAATCACTTTGTTAATAAGGTTGCTATATCATCGATATGGTTGCTATAACTACGCAAGGTTGCCGTAACAAAGATAAAGTTGCTATACCGAACAACTCATACGCACCCAAGTGATAGCCCAAATTGTTCGTGCCGTGAGTGAAATCTATCGTAAGAGCGTCGCCCCAGCGCTCGAAAATCAACTTCTGCACCTTTGTTTGCATCACGATACCGCATGTCACGTCCATTTGGTCTTGAATTACAAGGACGTCACTACCGTCTAACTGACGGATAGCTTGCAGCATGTCTTTCAAACGGGCCTCCGCTGCGTCGTGCCCCATAGTACTGCAGATCAGATTACGGGTCTGTTGAGGTGTTATTTTGCAGCCTAGCAAACACACAAAGCGCGAACAGTAACGTAAGTATCACTGCAGCATATCATATATAAAACTACGTACCGATTCTCTCATTCAGGAAGTTCGTGATGTGCTTGGAAGAAACACTAGCATCCGTTAAAGTCTTAACATCTTCGAGATCTTGCTCGTCCAACGGAAGTGTCTTTGTTGTCAGGTACAACGATGCTTGCGTTCGGGTGGTCGGGTGCGTGTGGGTAAAGTTCTGGTTATCAATAGCGACATGTGAGAAATACTAACAAAGCAAACAAATACACGAAAAGGCAGATACCTCGTTTCTTATGACAATTCGAAATTTGCCATTTTCCATCCGCTGAACGGTTGGTGTCATGCGTGCAGGACACCCGCAATAGTCGCCTTTTCTATTGCGATGTCCCTTGGAGCGCAACGCTTGCGAAACACCGTGTGTACAGCGGAGGACCTTGTGACTCCAATTAAAACGTGAAGGGATTTGGTCCCGATGATTGCTGCATATGAAAGGGGGTTTCGTTAACAACTTAAATTTCTCATCAAACAGAGGTCACACATACCTGTTGTACTGATTTCGTGTCTCCGAGCTTTGTACTCGAAACTTGAGGTGGTGCTTCTGCTTGTATATTTTCAAGTGTGCGTTGAACTTGCTCCAACTCTTGATAATCGCTGGGGTAAAGGGCGGAACGGGGTTGATAATTTCTTCGCGCTCCTCTTTGATTTCCCGCAACTCGTCAAGGTGCTTGCTTGATCGCTTCCGCGGTATGTACTGCTTGTTCCGCTTGGATAAACATGGGGCCGAATCAGCGTCGACAGACTCGTGAAGCTGCAGCTCCGCCTTACGCTTTTTCGCGAAAGATTGGGCTTCATCCCCAGCAGAAAGCTTGCATTTGGCCAGAGCGGTATCTATCGATTCCAAAGTGAATGTCAATATTAATGATAGCGCAATCTTTTTGCTTAAAGCAACTTTAACGAGAATACCTGGTGTTTTCTTGCGTGCTGTGGCTTTCTTTCTCGGCTCGGGGCTCTGTTTGCGTGTCCTGCGTTCTAAACAAACTAAAAAATACACACTACATTATCAGTTCAACTCAATAAGTGTCAACAATAACCCAAACGAGTCTTACCCGCTTCTGCTTCGTCTTCTGTGCTGGATTCTCCGTCGTCGTCTGCCTTCGCTTCATCGTCACTCGCCTCCTCTTCATCGTCGTCACCCATCGCTCTCCTCGTCATCATCGACCTCTTCTTCGTCTTCCTCCTCTTGGTAGCAATCCTCCGCCCCTTCGTCGCCGTTGTCTTCCTCATCCTCCTCATCCAGTACAAAGTCTTCGTCTTCGTCGTCGTCTTTTTCAATCCCAAGAGCGGCGTACATGTAGTTTAGATCCTCGTTTACGTTCCGCAGCTTTCGGCCAAACAATACATACCAACAGAATTCAAACAAAATGTGAGGCACGTAGATACTCTCGTTGCCACCAAGATGGAGCATACTGATTACCGTTTATAATGGCTCCCCCCGCAGGAGCCATCGGTCCCCCCTCGCCGTTTGGTGCTTGACTGATTCGCGAGAGGTGCGTGCCCCACGTGGCCTCCGTTCAGCAGCGCGATTCTTAAAATGAGCGGCTGTGAGGTGGCGCACTTAATGGCATCGTACCTAATCAGAAGCGCACATTAGCGTGATTTGCGTACCTAAGGGTTTAATGGCAATTTAGACATTTAAATTACGCTCGTAATTTTTGAAATCCCTAAAAGCAACCATATATGTCTCATAATGGCTAAAAGCAACCATACCTAGCAGAGGAAATACAAGCGAAAGCTTAGATTACAATCTTTTGTTTTTGGGATTGTCAAGATTCAATAATTGATTGTTTCAGATCTGAGTCGCCAATCAATAAACAATCTATATTTCCACAGGCCTGTATCCGCCGCGCGCATTCGGGGGCGAGTCGATATCCGAGCCGCACTCCTTGCACCGGGTGGCATTGCCCTTCACGAACTCCTTACAATAGGGACACTGCTTCTTGACCAGCACGTTGCGCTTGAACACCACCTCAAACACTGCACACAAATTCAATTCAATGGACTCCACTCAAAGATCTTCCAACGTCCTCGATCGCACCCACCTTTTTTCACCGCGAAGAACAGGAACACGGCGTTGATGAGGAAGTTCATGACGTTCTCCACGAACAGCCCGTAGTTGATGGTCACCGCGCCGGCATCCCGCGCTGCAACAGAAATTACATCAACATTAGACATACCCTTGCGCAGTGGCTTATAAGTTAGTGGTACCTTGCTTCCGCCTGCTGGAAGCACGCAACTGTACCCACTCAGATCGTACTTAGATGGAAAGTGTAGCCATATCCACAAGTTGAAGTGGGCTGCTCCGAGGAACTTGACAAGTAAAAGCAGGCTGCCCCTGCTACAGTAATTCGAGGCGAGATGACCCTGCTACCAAATCCTTTTCACGCGGATCTTTCCGGATCTTCTTACCGCCAGTCGTCGCGCGATCCAAATCGGACGGCCCATTTAGCGTGTCATTTCTCGCGTGTCATTATCCTTTTGGCGTCGTCGTCAAACCATGCCATCCTCTCGGTCGATGGTCGCTCTCTGGCTGGCAGCCACACTGCTTTGCCTCGCTAATGGCCAGCAAGTCGGAACATCCTGCCCGCAGCCTCGCATCCGCAAGTCCTGGGACTCGTACACTGCCGCGGAGAAGGCCCTGTACACTGAGGCGGTGGGCGTGGCCATGGATCGCGGTTTCCACCAGAAGTTCGTGCAGATCCACACGGAGCAGCTCACGGGACTGGAAGCGCATCAGTCGTGCGTCTTCATCTACTGGCACCGGATGCTGCTTCTGGGCTACGAGAACATGCTGTGCAGCCTCAACACGGCGTATCAGTGCATCACGCTGCCTTACTGGGACCACCTCTCGGGATCCGCTCGTCAGGCGAACAACAACTGCTCCAGCATCGAAGAGTGCTCCTCTATTATCGCCGACTTTGGCGGCACAACTACTGGAGTGAGCAAATCGCTGTCGGTTTACGGCTCAAGTATCCCCAACTCGATCAAGACGGTCTGCGTGACTCAAGGCCCGCCTACCACTTCTGCGGGAACAACACGGGATGCGCCCACTGCATTCTCCGGACACGCAGCAAATACCTGAGTGCCACAACGTATCCGAACGAGGCGTCCTTCGGGTCGGTGTACCAGCAAGTACTCACGTACAGCGACTCGGGAAGTTTCACCTCTGCGGTCGAGCGAGGCATCCACAGTACGTACCCCTGCTACGATATTTTTTAATGCAACACGCTAACTTTTGTCATCTGCAGACACGATTCACAACGCACTGGGTAGAGTGATGACGTACCTGCAGGCCCCAGTTGATCCGATGTTCTACTCTCATCATTCACTGATCGACTTGCTCCAGACCATCTACCTGAAGTGCCAGATTGGCGATGAGAAAGCTTTTCTATCAGCAGAAAACAAAAGTAGCGATCCGCGGGTCTGGACGTCCTGCACTCGGTCCAATGGTGGGAACTTCCGGGGCTCGGATAATATCACCATGCGTGCACTGGCGAACGATGGCAAGACATACGTGAACGTCTGGCAGGACCCGAACAACGTTTTGTACCCATTTTTCAAGGATATGCCGTACCAGTACGCTGACTACGTCGACGCCAAGGACCTGAAGGGCTACAGCTACACGTACGATATCAGCGGCGGGCTGGCCAACATGTACCAGAACTGCAAGGATTCCAACACCTTCAGTGCGATATCGCTCCTCGCGGATAGTCAGCAGGCCACCAAGAAGAAGAATCCGCTGCTTCCGACGATATCCGAGGGCACGGAGGAGGACGATGCAGTGCGCCTCTGGCACATTGCGTTGTTTGAAGCTGCACAGATTGTCGGGTTCCAAGACTGGGCTGCGAGAGATCAGATGGAGATGATTGCGTGCGTGCATCATGGGGAGTGTATCGGCCCTATCGACGACTACACCAACCTGTTCCGAACCAACTTTGGAGTCACGGGCCACACGCGCTGCTTCTCCATTCTCCAGGACATCATGGAAGGCACGCGTATCATCGGGATTCCGATGTGGCGCGAAATCACGAGTCGGTTCTTGCCCTGCCCTTTGCAAGAGGAAGATGGCTCGGACTCGGAGGGAGGCTCGGAAGCCGCGGTGGCATAGGCTTTTCTTGCGTTGAGGTCGAAGTGGGAGATAACCAATCCTTCGCTGCCTTGAAGCAGCCATGTTATGCATGTACTCGTTTGCCTATGATAACCCCCCCCCCCAGCAAATTCGCCAGCGTGTTTGTCCACAGGTCGACCATTAACGTTAATATAATTGTTGTAATACGCAAGATGATGGAGCCCAAACGGAGATTCACCGCTCGTTCAGTAAGTAAAGTACCACGAAGAAAATTAGCACCGGATCTTGAACAACGGCAGCTCAACGAGATACATGCACGGGCTTGAGCTCGAATCTCGACGTGCGTGGATACCTAGCAGCAACATTGGGGCTTTCCCAAGGTGCACCATGTCGCAGTGATCGACGGGCGGGGATGCGTCCCGCGCAGGATTTATTCGCAGCCACCCCACCACCCACCATTAGCCAGTGGCCCGCATCAACGCCGAGTGAAGGTCCTTCACTGAAAGACACCCCATCCTGCCTCTGCATTGCTCAGCGCCACGTTGCTTTCGCCGCGTTCGGGGACAGACACGGCAACAACTTCACGAGCGTTTCTGAAGCGACGTAACGAGTGGTGCAGAGCGATTTTTCTGTATTGAAGTGCTTTGTGTGCAAAACCGGGGCGACATCCTTCTCTGCGTCCTGCTTTAACAGTTCCATTATCGACAGATACCAATAGACAAAGGAGACTGTTCTCCGGACACATGACCCGGTTTTAACAGCCGTTTTTATTTCGGGGTGCGTTACAACAACAACCGTCAGTCTCCATTTAGCTCGACCTCGAGCACACCTCCCCCCTCCGTCACCATGGTCGAGTCCCGCCATGACGTCGAGCAGGGGCTCACCCCGCGGCTGAGCAATGCCTCCTCCTCCTCCATCTACTTCCCTCCCACCAACGGCAACGCCCCCACTGCCACCGCCGGCTCCAAGCAGTACATGGCGCTGGAGCCCGTGGACGCCACGCACTCGTTGCGCACGCACTGGGACGAGAGCGTCGGCCACGGCGTGCGTCGCCTCGTGCGCACCATGCGCCAGCATGCAAAGGCGCCCTCCGTCTCGACCGCCGACATGGCCGACAAGCTCCGGCACGACGCCAAGGACTCGGCGCGCTTCTACTGGCAGAACCTGCTCGTGTTCCAGCGCGAGATGCTCTGCGGCGTGGCGGCCATGCTGCTCATGATCCCGGAGACCGTGGCCTTCAGCTACGCGGCCAACCTGGACCCGCTCAACGGCCTGTACGCCACGGGCTTCCTCGGTCTGGCCGTGAGTCTGTTCGGCGGCGTGCCGGCCACCGTTGCCGGCGCTGCCGGTGCCGTGGCCATGGTGATGCCGACCATCACGAGCGTCACCGGCTCGCTGGCCTACTTGACGTACGAGGAGCGGCTACAGCACCTGTTCGTCGCTGTGACCGTTGCAGGCGTGCTGGAGCTGCTGTTCGGGCTGCTGGGCCTGTCCAAGCTCTTCTCGATGATCCCTCGCACGGCGCACATCGGATTCCTGAACGGCCTGGCGCTCATGATGTTCATCTCGCAGAAGACGACGATCGAGGTGTGCAAGAACGACACGATGCGCTTCGGGGAGTGCGAGATCGCCGGCAACCTCGAGTGGATGAGCGTGTCGTCGGCTACGACGTGGGTCACCGTTGCGCTGGTGCTCGTGACCATGGCCATCATGCACTACTTCCCGCGGACGCCGTTCGTGGGCCACTTGATCCCGCCCACGCTCGTGGCGGCGGTAGTCGGCGTCGGCTTCGAGTTTGGCATCAACCGCCCACTGCTCGGCTACGACGTGCGCACTATCGGCGATACGTCTCCTCTGAACGGCGGACTGCCGACTTTCGCTCTCCCCAAGTTCGGAGACGTGCAGGACTGGGGCGTCGTGCTGTCTACGGCGGCGAGTATCATGGCTGTGGGACTGTTTGAGTCGCTCATGACGTTGCAGTCGGTGGTGGACCTGAAGAAGGAGCAGCTCTCGCAGACGGCCACGCGCAAGGAGTGCATCGCGCAGGGCATCGGCAATGTGCTGTGCGGGTTCTTCTCCGGTATGGGAGGCTGCTCCATGATCGCGCAGTCGAACGGCAACATTTTGAACGGAGCTCGCTACCGCTTGTCGTCGTTTATGTGCGGAGTTTGTACGTTCCTGGTGGTGTTTTTCGCCAGTTCGGTGATCGAGCGCGTGCCCGTGGCGTGTCTGACCGGCATCCTGTTCGTAATCGTGATCCACACGTTCTACTGGCCGTCGCTCAAGCTCATCTTCCGCGTCAAGATCACGGACGCCATCGCCATTGTGCTCGTGACGGCGCTCGCGGCTGCGATGAACCTGGCCATTGCCGTGATCGTCGGCGTCATTTGGCAGTGTCTGGTGAACGGCTGGCAGAGCGGCCACTTACTCACGTTCCGCACGGGCATGGAGGTGGTGCCTGTCGTGAACGCCCAGGGCCGCGCTGCAGACAACGAGCTGCTCACGAATCACGAGGAGGCCAAGATCTACTACATCAAGGGCCAGCTGCTCTTCTCGTCGGTGGCCTCATTCCGCGAGTTCTTCGACGTCCTCCATGACCCGAACGTGGTCATTCTCGACATGTCGGACTGCGTGTTCGCCGACTTCTCGGCTGCTGCGGCGCTGCGTGAAGCTGCTATGCGGTACCGTGACGCCGGCAAGACGCTGGTGGCTCGCAACCTCGACGCGCAGTCGCTGGACATGCTGAACCATGACTTCGGCTGGGACTCTGTCGAGAGGATTCAGATCGCGACGCCCGGTACGGCCACCAACGGCGACGACCTCGCCAAGAGCAAGATCGACAAGGAGCGCGCTTCTCGCTACTCACACGGCTCGCAGGCGTCTCGTGGTTCGCTGCACCAGCTTCACATTCCGTCGCCGTGCGAGTCGTCGACGCCCTACCGTCCTGCTACTGGGCCGTAAACTTTTTTTATTATGCCAAAGCACAGGACATCCGACACAAGGTTCCGCCAACGCAGGGTCGTAAGATGCCGCAGCTCTCGCGATTCCTAGTACACTTGATGTTGTTTTGAAATTGCAATGATGCAATGATTTACGTGTTCGCGTAGCCAAATTACACCTGCGCTAGTCTCAGTTTAGCTAGTCGGCGGCATAGTGTGGTGTCCGCATACGTCGAGTCTCCTTTGGCTGGCAGTGAGTCAGCAATGGTAGTCATGAGGGCCTTCCATTTACGTCGGTCTTGGGCAAGCAGTCGAAGTCTCTCCAAGTCTGAGCTGGTGCGGAGGCGGTAGCCACACCCACTAGCATCAAGGTCCTGGTCGAGGACAAGAGGCAGTGTGGCGCGGGGCCTACCTCTCCACTTGCTGCTGTCGGAGGAAGAGAAATACGCCTTCATCTGGATAAACGCCGGGATATCTTGTAGTCGCCGTAGAATGTGCCCGAGAAGCCCCCACCTCGCAGATGTGATCCGGTGACGGAGCGGCCGCTCGTCGCACGTTGCGTAGAGATCAGCGTTTTGAAATTGTGTTTGGTTTTCCGTATGGACATTTTTTAGGGTATCCATAAAGCTGTTCATCTTCCTTGACTTCTTGGCTTGGTACACTCCTGGCCACAATAATACGGCCACCCCTAAAAATTACCATAACTCCGTCAGTTTTGCTTATTATGCGGTGCTGTTTTGACACAAGTAGCAAAACACGGTGCAAAAGGCCTGACATGTGTTAACGCTCGCGTTTTTGCAATCTAACGGGTGGCTCACATACAAAAAACTGTTTTGGCAAGGTGGTCACAACTTACGGCCACCCCATCCCAATACAAAATCCTATACTAATTGAATGCTTGTACAGAGTGAAGGTCGGGCAAATGACTTGAGATTTGTATGGGTCTAGTTAGTGAACCCGCTAGTTGGGCTAAATCGCGTCCTAGAGAAGAATGAAGGCATTGGTCATCTTAGCATAAGTGTAAACTACAGCTCCAGTAAATTGCGCGGGACCTCGGGTGATTTTGAGGGAGATCTAGATGCCAACGTAAATCTAAAGTAGCGTCGTGACAACGTCCATATGATTTGTATGGGACGATTTGATCAGGAAGTGACGAGTCGAATCGTACTCGTGTGTGCGGACTGAAGCCTCAATACTTGTTCCAACTTCGGTTAAAATATTATCTACGTTACTTGTTGCTGCTGCAGTCATCCATTGTCCTTTAGTACGGCAGGAAGAAGGGTTTTTCAGGTTCACTAACTACACCTTTTCAACTTCAAAATGGCAAATTGTAAGTTCAAAACAGCAAAACGTAAAGTCAAAACTGCAGACCTTGCGAAAATCATAATCGAAGCTATATCGCCTTTGACGGGGAATACTCGGGTACGGTGCCTGGGCACGGATACCCTCTGGTTAGCACTATATTGGAGGCTCTCCCGATGACCAACGACATACAAATTCAAGTCAAAAATCATCCGGATAGTGCTTAGTGATACGAGATTGGAATATATCACCATCAAGAGACCATTAACTATGAGAATGTCCATTTCGTAAAGCATGTCCGGCAACATCAACTACAACGTGGGTCGCTTGCGACCTTGAAATGGACTCAGATTCTCTGGGTTCGCACATATTATTATTCAGTTTTAAATGATGTGATTCTGGAACGTGCATTTATCGTATCAGCTTGGGCGCTAGACTAGATTGCTGCCTGTGCAGTCCTCCCAGTCCCACTTGAATAGTGGCCAGCGTATCATCACTCATCCAGCCATATAGTAGTAAATAAGCACATAAACTACTTTTATCTAGTGCTTTGATCACGTATCGAGTGCAATACAAGCTCACCAAGTGCCTGAATGATGGTGTTATCACTACACTGGTACCTTGAACGATAAGATACCGCCAATTTGGTACAGATCTACATAGTGATGCCTCTGCATAGTGATAAAAAGTGGTCTCCCGAGGCTATCACTACAAAGAGGATTGTCTGTACACGAGCCAAGCATACGGTGCAGTTGAAAGTATGTCCCACCGCCCCGCTTACAAGGACAAACGCCAACCCGCCGTAAACCCTCAATTCCCTCGGCCAGCCATAGCAACTCTCTCACTCGCGAAGCACTTTGCAATTCGCTTGCTACCCCTCAGCGCCCGAACAACAGCCGCCAGGTCGTCCGACGATGCGATTCAACTGCTTTGCAGTCTTGGCCGTCACCTCTCTGCTGGCGTGCGCTGGCAGCGCCTCGACGTCGTCAGTCACCAAGACGATCGAGCACGACTTCCCAGCTGCCATCCTCTCGGACGCGAACTACAACAATGGCGCACCAGGCGCCAAGAGGGTGTTGAGGGCTCACGAAATACCGGACAAGGAGAACGAAGACAGAATGCTTAATTGGGCGAAGTTGAATGCTTGGCCCTTCAAAGACAAATCTACGAGTTACGTCTTGGGAAAGTTCGAGTTCGACCCGAAAGTAGGTGAGGCGCTTGATTCGTCTCGTTTGACGACTTTGGCCGAGTACGTGGACATGTTCAACAAGAAGCACCCAAAACACAAGGTGTCACTGTTCGAGAAATTACGAGGGAAATCGCGACGCGGCTGGAAAAGCAGCAGTTTGCGTTTTGGCGGGATAACAGCATTTCCCCCGACGACGTTTTCTTCATGCTAGGGAGCAAGGCTGATGCGCAACACGCCATGCACAGCCGGAAGTTGGAGACGCTGGAGCAGTACATCCCCATTTTCAACGAGCGCTATCAGGCGTCACAAACGGACATGTTCACCGTATTGAGAAAAGGTTTCGGTGACGCTGATTTTGCTCGCGCACTTGCGATGGCCAAGCAGGAGCGTTTGTCAGCAACTATGCGTGAAAACGGCGAAAAGTATCAAAAGGAGTTGTACTCGAAATGGATGGCGATGGGCAAGGATAACGAACCTTTTGACACGAACAGGGTTATGACCAAAGTGTTCAATCTGGAAAGGCTTGAAGATGGTACCAATGCGGAAAAACTCGCTCTCAATCACTACAGCGTATTCCACAAAAGGATGCGCGAACAGGAAGCTCTTAAGTCGACCGGCAGGTGAATTTAATAGTAAGCCCCGTTGCATTCGCTTTACATCGAATACTGGAAGTATTAGCTAGGACGGACAGCTACAAAAGTACGCTGCCCATTCTTGCAGGTATCACCCACAATATTCGGTAACTTTCCGAACGACCCCACCATCTCACGAGCCTTATCTCCCTCTAATGTGAAAGACTGCGTGTTCAATATCTCAGGGAGGTGGCAGGACAGCACTAAATGAAGACAAATTGCAGCACAAAAAAAACTGCGTTCAACGTTTCCTCTGCCTGGACGTCTCGATTCGATGCAGTCCTCTTCAGTAAATGTGCCCCCCATACACACGCGTTTCCTCTACATAATGAAATAGCTACGGCTCATTAGTCGGGCGGTACGCCGTCGACGACTCGGACTACGGAATGTGGAGCTGGTGCAACGATCCCGAGGGCGCCTGAGAGCCATGGAGAAAAGCGCTCCTCGTCGATCTTGCTTTTGGTGAGGTCGACAACGTGCCTGGCACCAGTCAGATCCCTGCTTCCGAGTAGATCATTTTATCAGCGCAGAATTTTGGGACACATTAGCAGACGCCGTGGCTGCTAAGAAGACGCAGGTGATGCCCGAGCGTACGAATATTCGTTATATTTCTAACACGGCCTTTTTTGCTTAGTGGACTAAATAATAATAATTAAATTATACTCCACTCTCGACGTATTGTGCCTTTCACGTATTTTGGCGGGTGAGCTGTAGATTCAGGCGTAATTAGTCATAAAAGGGCGATCAACGCTTATTTACAGCTAATTCTGCCTAAGATTGTGAGCGCTTCCCCTAACACCCGCAATCAGCATTTGAGAGCCAATCGACGGAGATACGAGCAGAATGGCATGAATTGGCGGGTAGGAAACCGCCAATCGCTCTGTTTCCGCCTAACGAAGGCTGGATTAGCTTATTCCGCGTTAGCTCGGCCTCACCATCGCCGCTCCTAATTCGGCCATGGAGGGACGGCCCGGAATTAATATGAGAATTAGCTAACTCGGGACATAATTAAGGTCGATAAGGAATTAGAGTTATGCCAGAATTATCACGGCAGAATAAGTGAAAGGCACAACCAACATTAGCCCAAATCCTTGTAAAAATGCACATGTAGCTTCGAGTTGCAAAATTCTAGTGTCTACAACCCAGGTCCCCATTCTAAATCGCACACACATACAAGTAGCTGTAAGTTGTGGATGGTCATTCAGCCCCAAGTAGTGTACATAAGCCACATCTCGTGCATATTTAGGGCAATACCTTTTGGCGTTTCTAGAAAGTGTCATTCTCTAATGTTGTTTTTACAGGACATTCTGCAGGTGCGCGAGTCTTAGTACAGGACAAAAATCCTGTTACAGGACTCCTCTTACCTTTCGATTTGAAAAATACAGGATCCCTATGCTTCTGTTACAGATAGTGTTCGCACAAAAACTAATTGCATAACTAACACTAGCGCTAGCAAGCTGTTTGTTAGTTCGATCGTATTAGCAAAGTGACAATAATGATCCTCAATTCAAAAACAAACAAAAAAAGCTGTTTGTTAGTGTATAGTGAATCTGGGTATCATGGTTGCGGAGTTAGGCGATTTTTTATCAATCATCTTAACGCTCTTTTTAGTTGTCGAAAGTACCCGAATCCGGGTATACCCGAGGCGGGTTCAAGAAACGGGTACCCATTGCGAGCCCTGCCGCTTACCAATGCATACCTTAGATTTCCACTATCGCTCACGGCTGGGGGCCACAAATCCTTCGTGTTCGACTTCTTTAAGGCGCTCCGGGCCGGTGCGGCCTGGAGCAGTCCCAGGGTGAGGTGCGGTGGGGCAACTGCTGGCTTGTAGGTAAAACTACGAATGACTTGCTAGACTACTTCTACTACCTCCGGGTGCTGGGATTGAATCCATGCGATGCGCCAGCGCATTTGGGATGTAGCCACTTGGTGCGATGCAGCACAGACCGATCTGAGCAGCGTCCTTGGACCACAATAGCCTTCCCGCTCAGCGGAAAACTGGTCTCCGCCCACAACAAGGGGCGGAAACCTTAATTCCATGCACCTGTAATTCTACGAACATCATAAGGTTGAATAGATAATATTATATAGTGTACTCCGCAAACATGTTATTGTGCTTTGCTCTCATTCTGTCTAAACGAAGGCGTAAATCGTTGTTTTGTATTTTAACAGTTAAAAAATTAAACTGTTAAAATACAAAACAACGAGTTACAACGAGTTAAAATTTAACTTCATCGTAATTCGTTGTTTTACCATAACCCAACGACCCTTACTTCGATGGCATTGGATGCCATTCTGTAGCAGGGTTTGTAGCACGTTATTTGCGCTCGTGAACGACGTTCCAACAAGTAACGTCCTTAAAGTGGAGTCGGTAGTTGCAAGTTGAGGCAGCGCACAAGTTCAAATGAAGCCTATGTACTCAAAAGTCCGAGTACATTACTCATTACTCAGAATTATGCGAAATGTACTCAAAAGTATGGACGACCCTCTCGTACCAGTCAGCTTTTGACAGCTAAACGAGCCTCAAGATAAATCACTAAACTCCATCTGAGTCTGCAACCATGTTAGCCAGATTCACGATACACGAACAAACAGTTTGCAAATGCTAGTGTTAGCAATGCAGTTAGCGTTTGTGCGTACTATAATTGAACTCGATCTCTGTAAGATACTCACAGTAAAAAACAGCGACTCATTTTCAGTGAATGTTTCTTCTTTTTTCCAGACTCCTATTTCTTCTTGCACGAAATCGGTGACGGGGTATCAGTAAGTTATTCCCGTAAGTTATTGCAAATTATTTTTACGGATTTTGGAATTACTACCAAATGACGCCGCCGGTCAACAGGTCCATCGCAGCCACGATCACGTCATGATTGAATTTGGCAACTCTACATATGAGCATGAAGTCAAGCTTTGCGACTCATGTGGATAATGCCAAAATTTTAATAATTGCCATTCTCCAGGACATCCGGCTGCTGCTCAGGTCCTGTAAGTAGTGTACTCCGCAACTATTAACTCGCTGTACTTAAGTAAGTGCTGTTAGCAAACGCGTTTGTATGTTTGCGCTCTGTCACTAGCATTCAAATAAATCGCTCCTTAGTTAACTGTAAGCGAGTTTGTACTGGTTGTCGAATCCATATTCCACGTATAGGCACCATCGTTATTATTGCTGTAGAGAGGAAGAACTTAACATATCAGGCAAGTGCAACGGGTACCCGAAGTTGACGAAAATAGTACTAAATAGTAATATTTCTTAATTATACCAGCTATATCATGCTCATACGCTCCACAAGTCCTTTTCACTCTGTATTGATTTCGACGTAGTTATTAATGCTACTTACCGAATTTGTTTTGTAGAGGGATACACCCTACCGGAGCTAAAATACCAGACGCCCGATTTGCTCAAAAAACGAATCGGCACCAGACGCCCAGATGTATTTATCAAAATTACTAAACTGAGCACTCTACCTCAAGTCTCTCAGGGCCGAATCTCACCAATGCGGCTGCCGACACAGCCCAACTTATTAGCTTGTTCGCCGCCACCACCCCAACTTGAGATCGAAGTTCAGTAGAGCAAGCTTTGCGTTTGTTCCTGCCGCCGACAGAAGCACCCCCACCACCACTCTTCCCCCTTGATACTTTTCTGTAGGTAGACCCGGAAAGAACGTATCTTCAGCGAAACAAACATTGCAGTGTAGTCTCAGGTGCTCGACCATAGCCTTCTTCATTGCAGCAGTGTAAAATGGTAGGGCCCGCGTCGTTTTCCACCTGCCTTGACCTCCAGACAGGCGAGGGTGACTTGGTGGCGCCCGCGCCTTTGCAGAAACGATCGCGCGCTGAGCGGCCGAGAGTGCAAAAATTTCTGGCTTGAAACTGGTGTATCCCTCAACAAGTCAAGCCCTGTCAATCTGAAGACACTATTGTGATTGGCTAATACTATCCTGTATCCCATACGTGGGTGTATCCCTCTACAAAACAAATTCGGTAATTGCAACAATTATGGTAACAATAAACTTTAAATGCAATTATCTTACTAAAAGTATATATATTAATTTTACAATTATTTTAATTTACATTCAATTATTCAATAATTGAATGTAGATTATTCCTTCTATGAAATTTCATTTTGTTTCGATGCGGATTTACCAGTCAGCTAAATTCTGTATTGGACATGCCGAGCATCAAAACACATCCATAACCTTCATGCGAAGCACGTGCAAGACTTCTCGAAATTATATTTTAATAAGGTACCCAGAAGGACGTCGGAGCAATACTCCGGTATCCGTCTTGCATTGACGAACGAAGAATCTCTCGCCAACATACAGAATGCCGTCCCCTCTCACTCTCGAAGACGCGGGGCGGGCTCGTGCATGCTCCAGATCAGGATTTTATGGGGAACGTTGCTACCACAAGCAAATTTCGTAAAAGGAACGTGTTTGTGATCTGTTTGTGACTCGAGTTAAACTGTCGTCGTGGGCAGTTGACTATTAGAGGTGCAGCCGATAAGATCCACAACCTTCACAAACGCCACAAACAGCCACAAACACAATTAAGCGTCGAATAAAAGTTTGCTAGTGTGGCTCAACTCGTTTCCGCCTCACTGCAAGCCAAACTCTGTAGCGGATTTTGCACGCCAATAGCTGCAGCCTAGCGCAGTCACGTACAGCGCAAGGTTGCAGCGACTTAATCCTCACACCCGACCTGGTTAGAAGGGCGTTCTCCCTTCAGCTTCGGGATCGAGCCCAGCCTGGAGCTTCGGTTCGGCGTACTAGTCTTTCACCGTGACGTTTCCGAGGCCACTACCGTGCTTCAGTGCGACTCGAGCTCGAGTTCCAGCACGGGCTCAACCGCTCAGACGTCGCGACAAACACGACTGCTGCACTAATATTTTTTTGTTTTGTTTTGGTGCACCGCATGCTACAAAGGTTCAAAGGAAAATGCCATACATTTACCCAACGTATGTGCCAAGCACGTCACAAATGCTTGTGGCAGCAATGCCGGGATTTATTCGCGGTCCAACCGGTCAACTTCGCATTTCGATGCCGCGGCTCTGCACACAAATTGACAACACCTCCCGCCGCCGCCGCAAGGTGATCGTTGCAGCGAGCCTCTACAACCTCCTACAGCCGTGCTTCAAGCAGGGTTCTTGGTGCTCTGAGCGCCAACTCCATTGCCAGCATTGCTCGAGGTGTGTCTGCACAAAAGTATCTTCATGGTCTCAGATCCTCATGGCTGCGGATCTACCATCTGCGCTCGCCTCGTTTGCAGTGCCAATCCATCAAGACTTCAAGGCCTGAAATCTGCAACCCGCGTGACGAGCTCGAGTCCGCTGCTGCAGAAAAGCCGGCGAGGCGCGGAGCCCATGGACCTCCACGTAGCTGAGCCCGACACTATCTTGTGCACGACCCAATCCCGCCAGCACCACCTCGGGAAGTTGTCGAGCCTTGCAGCCCGAGTCGGAAGCCGCGGTCCCGCCCAGCTGGGGGAGTCGGCGCTGCTTGCCAGCCTTTGGTCGCCGCGCCACACTCGAGTCTGCCGAGCACCGCGCAAGCCCCCGCCCCAGAGGCCGAAGACGCCATGAGCTGCATGTCGGCCGAACGCGGATTCCCGACCAAGCGCCGCTTCCCGCTGCGCGCCATCGAGCGCTTCGGCATCGCCGAGCCGGACGTGTCGGTCAAGTGCTGCCACGCCATCGCCATCAGCGGCGACATGGACCAACTGGTGCGCTTCCTGCCGACGGCCGTCATGCGCACGTTCAACCGGCACCCACGACTGCGCGCGCTGGTGGTCAAGAGCGAGGAGTTCACGGCCGAGGTGCAGCCGCAGATCAAGCTGGACGACGTGGCGGCCAAGAAGCTGCTGCGCGTGCGCGAGATCTCCGACTCGGACGAGGACGTTTCCGCCTGGAAGAACTGGAACCAGTTCGTGCAGAGCGAGACCCACGTGCCGTTCGACCGCTTCACGCAGTTCATGTTCTACCTCACCGTGTGGGTCAACCGCGCGGAGGGCAAGGCGCGCTTCTTCCTCTTCTCGGACCACATCATGTCGGACGGCGACTCGGGCATGATCTTCGTCAACGACACGCTCGAGGACGTGGCGCTGCTGTCCATCGAGGCCGTCAAGCCCGTCAAGGAGCTGCCGCTGCGGCCGTCGCTCTATGACATGTGGTTCACGAGCCCCTGGTGGCTCAAGCCCGTGGCCAAGACCGTGGTCGCCTTGGTCGGCGGCTCGGCCTTCGTCAACTTCATGAAGGTCTTCAAGCCCGTGCTCACCCCGCGCGCGGACCAGCAGGACTTCGGCATCCCGTTCAAGCAGAACAGCACCACGCTGCTGAGCCAGGCCGGCAGCCCCACCAACATGCGTGACACGCTGCGCAAGTGCAAGGAGGAGGGCGTCACGCTCGGCGGCGCGCTCATCCCGATGCTGGTGCTGGCCTTCTACCACGCCAGCAAGGTCGACAAGAAGCTCAACGGCACGGAGGAGACCGACGGCCCGTTCCGCTTCGTGGCCGACATTTGCTACAACATGCGCCAGCGCGTGCCGGAGCCCGCCGAGGAGCGCCAGGTGGGGCTCTACGTGACCAACACGCCGCTCCAGTGGCTGGCCGCCGAGGGCGTCAACATGAAGACCGAGAAGTTCTGGGACCTCGCGCGCACGTCCAAGCAACAGATGGCGGAGCAGGGCGACAAGCTCCTGGAGATGGCGCTGCCGTGCTTCCTCATGGACCGCAAGCTCATCAAGCCCAAGGTCGGCGACCTGCTGGGCGACTTTAAGATCCCGAGCTCGTGCACGGGCGACGCGACTATCTCCAACCTCGGCCGCTACATCTACAAGACCAAGCACATCCTGGGCGCCAACGGCCAGCTCACCGTGGACGACATGTTCGCCTTCTGCGCCATCCCGTTCGTGGCCACGTCGTCCACGATCTGGCTGTCCACGGTCAACGCCTTCAACTACTCGCTGGCCCACAAGGTCGACGAGCAGGTCGGCAACGCGCTCTTCAACGCCTACGTCAAGATCTGCGAGAACGCCAGCAACATCCAGAAGGACGAGACGATGGAGGAAGTGCTCAAGCGCCTCGGACTGGAGGCCTAGATAGATTGTCCATAGTATTAACCACCCCATGCCCATGAAAACGAAGCTCCTTCCTAGTAAAGCCCCAATGCCTCCTTCAACTCCCTCTCCGACGACATCGATCGGCACCGCACTGACTCAGTGCCATTGAGACACGTACGGTGATCACAAGCGCAAATCTGCTCGGCAAAGTAAGCAAGCACATCTGCTTGAAGCAATCATCGGATCTTGTTGGCATTGATACCATATGGCAACAAGGACAGAGAGCTGAAAAGCTGGAAGCAGCGTATCTGCATTAAATGTCGAGCTCTCGCTTTCCCTTCATTACGTCAACTAGCGTTGTGGAGAATGGCGCTCGTGATCTCGCGTCCTTTTCGATTGCCGACTAGGGTAGAGCTCACCACTTTCTTCTCCAATACGTCAACATACTGTTTCAGGTCGCGCACTTGTCGCTCCAGCGCCTTCTTCTCTGTCGTCTGCTGCCGGATGTACGCGAGGTATTTCTTGAGGTGGGCTTGCTGCGTTCGGGACGTCTGCTGGTAGCTCTGCGCCATCGACTGCTTCCGGTCAAGGAGCTGTCCGAGTCGCGCCTCCAGCTTTGCAATCAGCTGCTGGCAGTGCAGCAGCTGCAGGTCCTTCCCCTTGAGTTGAGCGCGTAGGGATGTCAGCGGAAGCTTGCGGAGTTGGCTCGCACGCTTCTTCGCTGCTGGTCGGAAGTCGCTCCGCGCCTCATCGCGGTGTTCATCGCCGTCGCTATCAGTTTCGTCGCTGGCGCTGGCCTCGTCCGATATAACACGCAGTAAGCTTACGACTTGGCCTTCCCTTGCTTCAACCTGGTTGCCAACACAACTACCAGCTCGAGATCGGACGCGGCCATTTGCAGTGGCATCTCGCTGTCTTCTCCGCAGCGTCTCGAGCTCTTTCTGTTGCTGGACGACAATTGCCTGCAAACTCTGGGCTTGGCTCGCTTGCTCCAGCTCCCGTTCCACCGCACAGCTTTTCTCTTCGACTTCAACGTCCGGCCTATCCAACGCTTCAACTTCACTCCGAGCCGACGTGCTCTGAGGCTGATCCGCCTCGCGTCGCTTGCAGCCACGCGCCATCGCCTCGTTCAGCCGCACCAGCTCCTGCATCTGCTGGAACATGGCGACGCACTGGTCGTGGTCCTGCCGCGCCCGGAGCTCACTCGCCTCTCGCAGTCTCGCCAGCTCCTTCCGAAGAGCACAGCACGACTCGCACTGCGATAATCAGTCAATGCACCGTCAACCAACATGCACTACTGTACATGCACAATACTGGCAATCCACGGCAATGCTCACCTCGCGCTTCATCCTATCTGTTCGTCTCCACACTAACTTGTGCGCACGAACCGACACAAGAGCCGTTACATGTAGCCATCTTGCGTCCGTCAGATGGCTACACGAGCTCAACATTCCCCGTCATTTGCGATCGCCACCTGTTTCTTATCCAGGACTCGCGCCTCTACCCCCCGCGTACTTGTATTAATACGATCGGTCTACTTCATCCGCTCGCCACTCGGCCCGCAGCGCACGCGCAGTCCGCGTTCCTCGCCCTCGTTGTCCCGCACATCCGTCTCCGTCCGCCAGTGCGCCCGCCACCCTTCACCGCGCCCTGTAGCGCCCACCCGACCGCCGCCAAGTAGCGGTACCCGTTTTGTGGTACAATTATGCGCAGCACCATGATGCGTCGCCGCGAGAGCAACCTGACGCTGGACGAGGAGGACGACGTGGCCGTCCAGATCGAGCGCATCGAGCAGCCCTGGATGGCGCTCGAGCTGTTCAAGACGCTGTGGCAGAACGCCACGCAGCACGTGAGCTCCAGCTGCACCTTCACGCGGTTCAAGCTGCGAGCTTCAGTTGCTACAAAGGACAAGGAGCAGGAAACAGGAGCTGCAACGCAGAGCAGCAGCAACAATAAGAACGCAGAAGTTGCGGGAGCGGGGGCGACGGAGAGCTTCCAGGAGCAGTTTGCCAAGAGTTTGGGGAAGGATCTGGTCGTCTTCCCCCAACAGAAATCAGGACAGAAGGGCCCCTTCGTGGTGCTGGCCTATGCCAGTGTCGCGGACAACTACGGGCTCAAGACGGTGCTGCTGGTCAGGATGGAGCAGCTCCATGACTCGGAGCAGATCGGCATCACGGTGAAAAATACAGACCCCGTGCACCGCACCAGGATGGCGGCGTTCTTAGGCATTTTGCAGCAGCGCATCCAGCCGGGCAGTGCACCGAAGCGGCCGCACCCGAGGATGGCGGATACGAGCAAGCTGTTCCTGGAGGAGAGCGACCATGAAGGAGCCACAGACTCGGACACGTCGTCCGTGGCTCCGTCGACGCCGCCGCTTAGGTCCTCGTCCTCGGCTTCAGTTGAGACTCCACCGAGGCGAAAGATATCTATGCAGGCGTCGGCTCCAGTAGCGAGGCCTCTTACGGTGCCCCGGCCAGTAGAACGTGGCAGATCACACACGATTCGGTACCGTACAGATCGGGACATCGCGTTTGAAGGCTACCTGAGCAAGAAGAGCGACGTGCTCATGAGCTGGAAGGCGACGTACTGTGTATTGGAGGAGGACACGCTCGCATTTTACGAGACGCGAGAGGATTTCATCTCGAATACGAAACTGATTGGGCGGATTCAACTACAGGGGATTGAGCACGAAGACATGGGCAAGCCCAACGGCTTCCGCGTGATAGCGGAAGGTAACCACATCAACCACCTGAGCTCGCGGACAGCCTTTGAGAAGGAGCAGTGGAAACGCGCTATCAGCGTAAGTGCTGCTTTGATGTATTGATAACTTGTTGTGGCTGACTCGCTTTGTGTGTATACGCTGCGTGACAGATCGCCATTTCTAAGGCGCCAGAGGTGACGCGCCCGTACGTAGCGTTCGCATCGCAGCCGCTGGAGCCACACAAGTTTTACCGGCTGCTTGGTGCACTCTTGCGCCAGGAGATTGGTGATTTCCCATTACTCTTCCGGAGTATGCACCCGGATGTCGTCGTGACATCCAACTTCCCACCAATTGTGCCGTTCTGGGGCCAGTATCGCCGATACGACGGAGTTCTGCTATTTATTTCGACGCTTCTGGACTCGGTCACGGTGGATAATTTCTCGCTTCTGGAAGTGATTGAGCTCGTACGTGGAGACGCCGATTGCGTCGACGAAACTGGTGCCCACCATGATGGCCTTACGTCCTCTCCGATTCCAGTGGACTCGTACGTTCTGTCACCTAAGACGGTCGAAGCGCCCAAGTCGACTCCTGGAAGCGCATCAACACCGTCGTCGCAATGGACAAGACGGCTTGTGGTCACTGGGAAAGAGACGTACAACTTGCTTGACACAGACAACCGGCGGGTCACGCAGCTATTTGTACACGAATTGTGGCTGGATCACAAAGACCGTCTAGTACGCTGGCATTTAAACGGTGACGCGGTTGCTCTCTCGGTCGCATTCGATGACGCACCACGCGGGGAGAATATCCGACTGGTTCTGCCCGGCGAAACCTCTGCTATCTCGCACTCGATTCCCCCGGGAACATTTTACGTGCAGATTTTACAAGCTCAGCAGCTTCACGCATCCGACAGTGGGGGTGAAAATGGTTCAAAGGGAAGTGCTCAGCACTCATCCTCCAGTTCAGCCCCCAAGAAGGGGTACCCAGTCTACGCGCGCTGCATTCTGGAGGAGGGCAATCACATGGAACAAACGTTGCGTGGATTAAACCTGAAAGAAGGTGAAAATAAGCCGGACGAGCTCGCGAATTCGTCGATAGGAGGCTCTCACAAAGAGAACCGCCGCCCTTCTAAGGGAACCCGATTTTTCCGTGGGTTAAAACGTGCTGCCGGGATATCAGGAGAACGAGCTGTGGCGAAAGTTGGCGATCCGAGTGGGTGTGTGACGAATATCTGTAAGTGTATGCCGGTGACAACTCCCGATGGCCATCACAAAGTTGGCACGCTCAATCCCGACTGGTCCAGTAACCTTCGTCTCGAGTTTCCTGGCTGCGCACGAGGTTTTACGTATTTTCTGAAGGTTGAGGTGTTCCAGAGTCGCTTCATGCTACCCGACGAGCTACTGGGTGTATGCAAAATTAACGTCACGCCTCATCTTTCGCTCGTGAATGGATCCGCCGATGCAAAGGCCAACGGGGCTCTTCCTCGCTGGCACAATCTGTGCGATCAGTACAACGACTGCAAGGAATCGTGGGCACCCCCGACAGTATTTCGCGGTCGGATCCAGCTTGGCATTATTTTCGCTCCGTCCGTGACGTCTGTGGAGAACTTTCCCCAATCTCAGGGGCTCCGGCGCATGGCAAGTGATGGCAGGTTAGTGGAATCAAGACGAGGGTCTGGCGACGAGGCGTTGCTGCAAAGTTCGTCCAGCTACAACCTCCGCGAAATCATCCGCTCCGACAAACGAGCCTCCACTGGAGCGTTTAACATTCCGATTGGAGGGGAAGGGCGTTATATTTCACGTGAAATTCGGAGTCGAACGAATTCATCAGGAAAGGGGATCGTCAAAACGGGAAATGTATCGGTGGACAGCGAAGACAAGCGAGAGTTGGCACGGTTAACTCGCGATAACCACACTTTTACGGGGAAGACGACAAAGTTTGATGTCCCGAAGAAGTACCAGTTGATTAAGGTGGTGGGCGCTGGGACCTACGGCGAAGTGGTCGCTGCTAGTGACATTGAGTCAGGCACGACTGTCGCTATCAAGAAAGTTACCAATGCTTTTCAAGATTTACCCGATACCAAGCGCATTCTTCGTGAGCTGTGTCTGCTTGGGCAGCTGAACCATCCGAACTTGATTACACTGTACGACGTGCCTCGTCCAGAGCGGTTGTCGTACTTGGAAGACATCTATCTAGTGACGGATCTCATGGAGACCGACTTGCACCGCGTGATTCACTCGACGCAGACGCTGACGGACGAGCACGTTGCGCACTTCATGCGGCAGATTCTGCGAGCTTTGGCCTATTTACACTCGGCAAATGTCCTTCATCGAGACTTGAAGCCATCGAATATCCTGGTGACGAGCACGTGCGAGGCCAAGATTTGCGACCTCGGACTTGCTCGATACGTGGATTATTCCAAGGCAAAAAAGGTAAAGGGAGCTTCCCAGGAAGACACTTTTGTGGAGTTGACTGAGTATGTGGTGACTCGATGGTACCGTGCGCCTGAAATTCTACTGGACGGCTGTCGATACGACAAACCTTCGGATTTGTGGTCCGCTGGCTGTATCTTGGGAGAGTTGCTAGGCCGCAAACCTCTTTTCCCCGGCTCCAGCACAACCAACCAGCTTAACAAGATCTTCAACGTTCTTGGCACCCCAGATCTCTCGTATATCGCCAACATTCACAAAGAGGCCGCACAAAAGTGGGTGCACCGACAGCGACGGAGGTCCAAGATCCCGTTTGAAGAGCTGTACCCGAACGCGAACCAGCAGGCGCTGGATCTGCTGGAGAAGCTGCTAGTTTACGATCCGAAGAAGCGCATCACTGCCGCTGAAGCTCTTCATCACCCGTACCTGCGAGAAGCGTTCCGATCTGTGATGACCGACAACGTGGAAGGGGATGAAACTTTCTTTTACGATGAAGCAGAGCAGGGCGAAGACACGTTTAAGGGGAAAATCGACGACTCGAACGAGTACGTCCCCGAATCCAAGCTCGCGATGCAAGAGGCCGTGTTCGAGCAGGTTTGTAAGTTTCACCCGGAGGCGAGGGAGTACGAGGAGTGGCTGAAGAAGCACGACGAGAAGTACTGTGTAGACCCGGCAACCGGCAAATTGGTGCCCCTCAAGACTTGATTGAAACTATGACTCCTGAACTGCGAAGATAAAGGACTGAATGCCACTCGTAAAGATTGAAACGGACCGCAGTGGGGGCACTGCTCACGTTGCTAGAACACGGATTGTTTTTCGTTAAATGCAGATCGCGACTGCGTATACGAAGATGACGGTAAGTGCTTTCTACTGTCTAGCATGGCTGCTGTCGACCCTGACATGGTGCACATGTTTGTTTGTTGTAGTGGTAGCTTGATCGCCGTCGTCCAAGCCTCGCAGCTGGATACTAAACCGAAAGCCATCACACGGTGTTGTCCGAGTGAGGGGCTGAAAGCAACAAGCGCAGCGCGTCTTCCAGGGAAATGCTCGGGTTCCCACTCAGCAGACGCTTGGGCAGGTTGGTCGCCGCCAGAATGTCGTGGAGTCGGCCCTTGGCGTTGGCGATAGCGAAGCGAACCTTGCGCACCGCCAGCTTCTCCTGCGTGTCCGACAATACTTGGATCGTAGTTGCGTCCAGGTCGTTCATGTGGTACGCGTCCAGCACCACGCCGTGCGTCGTGATGCCCTTCTTCAGGAGTCGAGCCATCTCGCGTTCGATGGCTTTGGCTACGCGCTCGCAGTTGGCGAAGTACAGCGAACTCTCCACACGAACGACAACAATCCCGTCCAGGTGACAAGCATTTGGAAAGAGGTCCCGGTCCACGAGGCTGCCGTTATCCAGCTGGCCGAGAATCACGACCGGAGAGCGCTTGGTCTTGATCATGAGCGCCAGCACGGAGCAGACGATGGAGGCGATGAGGCCCTCGAGCACGCCCAGGCCGAGCGTGAGCACGAAGGAGGCGGCCCAGACGAAGAACTCGTCGCGCTTGACGCGGAAGAGCCACTTGGCCTCCTTGAACTCGACGAGCGTGTAGCCTGCGACGATGATGATGGAGGCGAGCGTGGCCCGCGGCAGGTAGTAGAGCGTGCCCGTGAGCGTGTAGAGCGCGATGATGACGATGAGCGTGGTGACGATGGAGGCGAGCTGTGTGTGCGCGTTCTGCATGTTGACGGCTGTGCGCGACATGCCGCCGGTGGGGGGCATGGCCTGGAAGATGCCGCAGACGACGCTGGCGACGCCGATGCCCGTGAGCTCCTGCTCGGTGTTGATGTCCTCCCCCCTCTGGATGGCGAGGCGCTTGGCCATGGCGATGCTGGAGAGGAAGACGACGAGCGAGACGGTGAGCGCGTTGACGAGGATGGTGCCGAAGCGGCCGCCGTCGATGAGGTCGTCGTCGAAGCCGTACCAGGGCAGGACGGGGGCGGGGAATCCGCCGGGCACGGTGCCGGTGAGCTTGAGCGCCTTGGGTCCGAGGAGGTATCCCACGATGCCGCCGAAGATGCAGACGACGAGGGGTCCGAGGTCGCAGAGGGTGCGCGCGAAGAAGATGGCGATCAGTACGGGCTTGGACTTGGGCGTGGAGTCGTCGATGGACTTGCGGTTGAGCGACTTGGCCTGGTTCTCGTCTGCTTGAGCGCGGGCCGAAGCGAGGCCGACGTACTGCTCGTCCGTGATGGAGAATCCGTGACTGTCAGCGAAGTTGCCGCTAGCAGGAATCTGCTGTGTATTGGCGGAGTTGGTTTTGGCCGGGTCGTCGAAGAGCTGCGAGAGCACAGGCGAGGGGAAGAAGCGCTTCTTGATGAGCTTGACGCCGATGAGGTAGGCGATGGAGATGAGCCCCACGGCCAGCGCGTTCTTGTTGGAGTGGCCGATGTTCTTGAAGTTCTGGTAGAGCGTCTGCACGGGGTAGTCCTGCGAGTCGAACTTGACGCCAAGCACGTTCTGGAACTGCGAGAGCATGATGAGCAGTCCGCCGGCCGAGATGAATCCGCCCATGACGGGTCGGGAGAAGAAGTCGGCGACCTGGCTGAGGTTGAGCACGCGCACGAGCAGCAGGATGACGCCGCTGAGGAAGGCGATCATGATGCCGGTGGCGACGCGCTCCTTCTCGTCCTCGATGGGCTCGAGGATGGATCCGGTGAGCAGCGCGACCTCAGAGCCGCTGGCGACGGAGAGCACGGTGCTGGAGCCGAAGAGCGCGTAGATGAGCGGCGCCGTGGCGGCCGTGTAGAGTCCGTGGTGCGCGGGCACGTGCATGATGGTGGAGAGCGAGACCTCTTGCGGGATGAGCATCATGGCGACGGTGATGCCTGCGACGAGGTCGAACTTGAGGTCTTGTCCGAGTTTGTAGTTGCGCAGCCACTTGAGAATGGGGAGGTAGTGCTGGGCGAGCTCGAAGGGCGTTTTCTTGGGCGCGAGGAAGCGCTCGTTGGTGGGGCGCTGGTGGCCCCCGGCGAGGGAACGCAGTGCATTCATGATGTCGAGTTACTGCTGGTTGATCGACTGGAAGTACGGTGAAGTTGGCCACTTGCCAGTGAGGAGGCAAAAGTTGCAATGGCTAGTGGTTGGGAGTTTATCCGGGTGTAGGTCTCGACGATTGCCCTTTGGATACTTACAGGACGATTTTACACCCTGGAAGCGTATCTGTTGAAGAGGTAACTTGTGTGTAACATCGTTTCAGATGGCTACAGTCGGCGTTGACCACTGGGAAAGCAGCACTTGTGGTACGTGACGTGGTCTCCCCGCCTTGGTCAAGTTGTTGGTTGCAGCTCCGACCAATAGATGGAGATGAAACTCTCGTGTCGAATTTGGAGACTCCTGCAACACTCTGTCTTCTGGACACCCGAACGCCTGCCTTGAGTTCTGTGGCAAGTGAGCGTTAGTTCATTCCAGTGCATCGTATTCCTGGTGGCATCTTGGTCAGATAAGGCATGACGCCAAGGGATGGAGTAGCTTTCATGCATTTTGTGCCTCGGCGTCAGCTCATTCGCATGGACCCGATGGTGCTTATGGCGTTTACTCGATTGCCAGAGTTTTTATGCTGAACTCTTTTTCCTCTGGCAATATGAAGAGTGGCATGAATCGAGTGACCACGTTAGCGTATCTGCACCTCGAAAGGCTCTGCAAAAGTGAAGCACCGGAATGTGGGCGGATACTCATGAGGCTGCTACTTTTTAAAAGATTTAATGGCTTGGTGGGACGGTGTAATTGGATCAGCTTCACTTCGCGGTCTAGACTTCCTCCCTACACGTGCTCAGCTTCAGCTTCAGCTCCTGACGGCGACTTAACCCCCGAGGGCGTTGCAGCACGGAGCATACGGACTGCATCTTCGACCGAGATGCTTGGGTTCCCGCCAAGAAGACGACCCGGCAGATTCGTGGTCGACAGGAGGTCACGCAGGTGGCCCTTAGCGTTTGCAATAGCGAAGCGAACCTTGCGCACCGCCAGCTTCTCCTGCGTGTCCGACAATACTTGGATCGTAGTTGCGTCCAGGTCGTTCATGTGGTACGCGTCCAGCACCACGCCGTGCGTCGTGATGCCCTTCTTCAGGAGTCGAGCCATCTCGCGTTCGATGGCTTTGGCTACGCGCTCGCAGTTGGCGAAGTACAGCGAACTCTCCACACGAACGACAACAATCCCGTCCAGGTGACAAGCATTTGGAAAGAGGTCCCGGTCCACGAGGCTGCCGTTATCCAGCTGGCCGAGAATCACGACCGGAGAGCGCTTGGTCTTGATCATGAGCGCCAGCACGGAGCAGACGATGGAGGCGATGAGGCCCTCGAGCACGCCCAGGCCGAGCGTGAGCACGAAGGAGGCGGCCCAGACGAAGAACTCGTCGCGCTTGACGCGGAAGAGCCACTTGGCCTCCTTGAACTCGACGAGCGTGTAGCCTGCGACGATGATGATGGAGGCGAGCGTGGCCCGCGGCAGGTAGTAGAGCGTGCCCGTGAGCGTGTAGAGCGCGATGATGACGATGAGCGTGGTGACGATGGAGGCGAGCTGTGTGTGCGCGTTCTGCATGTTGACGGCTGTGCGCGACATGCCGCCGGTGGGGGGCATGGCCTGGAAGATGCCGCAGACGACGCTGGCGACGCCGATGCCCGTGAGCTCCTGCTCGGTGTTGATGTCCTCCCCCCTCTGGATGGCGAGGCGCTTGGCCATGGCGATGCTGGAGAGGAAGACGACGAGCGAGACGGTGAGCGCGTTGACGAGGATGGTGCCGAAGCGGCCGCCGTCGATGAGGTCGTCGTCGAAGCCGTACCAGGGCAGGACGGGGGCGGGGAATCCGCCGGGCACGGTGCCGGTGAGCTTGAGCGCCTTGGGTCCGAGGAGGTATCCCACGATGCCGCCGAAGATGCAGACGACGAGGGGTCCGAGGTCGCAGAGGGTGCGCGCGAAGAAGATGGCGATCAGTACGGGCTTGGACTTGGGCGTGGAGTCGTCGATGGACTTGCGGTTGAGCGACTTGGCCTGGTTCTCGTCTGCTTGAGCGCGGGCCGAAGCGAGGCCGACGTACTGCTCGTCCGTGATGGAGAATCCGTGACTGTCAGCGAAGTTGCCGCTAGCAGGAATCTGCTGTGTATTGGCGGAGTTGGTTTTGGCCGGGTCGTCGAAGAGCTGCGAGAGCACAGGCGAGGGGAAGAAGCGCTTCTTGATGAGCTTGACGCCGATGAGGTAGGCGATGGAGATGAGCCCCACGGCCAGCGCGTTCTTGTTGGAGTGGCCGATGTTCTTGAAGTTCTGGTAGAGCGTCTGCACGGGGTAGTCCTGCGAGTCGAACTTGACGCCAAGCACGTTCTGGAACTGCGAGAGCATGATGAGCAGTCCGCCGGCCGAGATGAATCCGCCCATGACGGGTCGGGAGAAGAAGTCGGCGACCTGGCTGAGGTTGAGCACGCGCACGAGCAGCAGGATGACGCCGCTGAGGAAGGCGATCATGATGCCGGTGGCGACGCGCTCCTTCTCGTCCTCGATGGGCTCGAGGATGGATCCGGTGAGCAGCGCGACCTCAGAGCCGCTGGCGACGGAGAGCACGGTGCTGGAGCCGAAGAGCGCGTAGATGAGCGGCGCCGTGGCGGCCGTGTAGAGTCCGTGGTGCGCGGGCACGTGCATGATGGTGGAGAGCGAGACCTCTTGCGGGATGAGCATCATGGCGACGGTGATGCCTGCGACGAGGTCGAACTTGAGGTCTTGTCCGAGTTTGTAGTTGCGCAGCCACTTGAGAATGGGGAGGTAGTGCTGGGCGAGCTCGAAGGGCGTTTTCTTGGGCGCGAGGAAGCGCTCGTTGGTGGGGCGCTGGTGGCCCCCGGCGAGGGAGCGAAGCCAACTCATAGTAGTGATTGAGTTCGTAGATCGTGGGAGTTGGTAGCCCGCAAAAGTTACAATGAGGTAGGGCAATGGTTGCGCAGCTCGAGCTCACTTACGCTAGACTCTTATATATACTTGTGGGCTTTGGTGAAACCTACGGGGACAACTCTGATGGCAGCCCGAGCGATTATAGAGACCACTGCGATCGTGCGGTAATGCGGTACAATGCAACGAGGCGATCTTTGCTGCGCATTCGTTTACAGGCGAGCGCAACGGATGTCGGTATCCGATATCTCGAAAATGAAACGGACTCAGTTCAGATGCCTTCAGTGGGTCCCCACCAGTTGGAAAGCAGCGTTGGCACCACGCGACTCTGGACGACATTGCTGGAGCTCGTGCAGATTATCATTGGTCTTTTAGACAGTTTCAGTATCAGCATTGGAATGACAATAAAAAGCTAAGAACATACACGCACGCTTGCCAACTACCGATACAATTCTTTAAAAACTATTAGGTTTATTTCACTGCTAGTATTAATAAATACATGTACACATTTTTTCTTGTTTTCTATTAATTCAATATAGTACTTAAATAAAATTATATTTCTAATATATATTAGTATATTCAAAGCGAAATATTCCTTTGATATTTTTAAATATCAAAGTATTCTACATTCCGCTTAAAAGTGGAATGTAGAATACTTCAACAGTTGAATAAACCAGGGTTACTTTAAATATGCTTACCGAATACTCGTTGCTTTATTGCAGCATATTCTATAGCAATACCATTCGTACAACAGTAAATATCACATAATTTATTGTACACAAGTGATGTGCAGTATCCCAGTATATAATAATTTCGACTCGTAAGCTATTCTTGCTCGATACATTCCTGTCAAATAGGAACAAGAATAGTTATGCTTCACTGAGTAACCTGCGAAAACGTGGATGCCAAGGTGCTTCGACGCAGGCTACCTGGGCATTCATATTGGATAGGGTGCTCTCCAATGGCAGTGCATGACCTCCCTGGGTATTCGCTAGTGTCCACATTCCTTGAGTTATTTCTCAGAAATTGTACAACCGCGCGGTTCTTCTGCGTTACCTATCCATTGGTGCAGCCCTCTGCGTTTGTGTGTGCGAAAGATCCTTGCCCACCGTTGCCCAAGTAAATGACAGTCTCTTCAAGCTCGCCTCGATTGGTTTTCCTCTTATCAGAGACCTTCAACAAGCGAACATAAAACCGATGGCTCCAGTCGCGCCGATCAAGACATCGATTCCCTGCTTGAAGACTCCAAGCAGAACCCAGAGGAGCTCAGGCCGTCAACAAGAGGATGTGTTGCCCACCATGCTCGCATGAACAATGCATGCAGCAGCAAATTCTGGCGGTTCTGTGGCTTCATTTGCTGTGTCTTCATTTCTGAACTCGCGCTCAATCACCAAGATACCATGGTCGCTCGCTACTGGATGCTCGCGGTGTTTGCAGCTGCTGTAGGCACGCTGCTATCTGTCGTCGATGCTCGACCCAACATTCTCGTCTTCTTCCCGGACGAGCTGCGCTTCGACTGGGTCAACAACGGCACCGACACGGATTTCTTGCAGACGCCCAACATCGACAGCATCCGAGAGCGCGGACTCCACTTCAAGCGCGCCATCACCGCTTCCCCTGTCTGTGGGCCTTCGCGCGCATGCTTCGCAGCTGCCAGCCACTACGAAGAAGTGGGGGTGCTCACGAACCGCTACAACTTCCCCATCAACCGGATGACAACCTACTACAAGCTGCTGCAGGAGGCTGGGTACCACACGATGGCGGTCGGCAAACTGGACTTGAACAAGAACGACACGCTCAACAGCTTCGGCTGGAACCACGAAGGCAACCTCCATGCGGCTGAGTGGGGGTTCTCCGACATGGTCAACTGCGTCGGCGTCTTCGAGTCGTATTTCTTGACGGATCCGTACCCCAACGGCTCGTACGTCGAGCCGTACACGGACTACCTGCTTGAGCACAACGTTACGGACGTTTTCCTCAACGACACTCACGCCCGCACGGACGGTGGCAACACCAAGATCGGCGATCCTCGGTTCTACAAGGACACGTACCCGAATCCGCTGCCCGACGATCTCTACAACGACAACTGGGTGGCTGAGCAGGCGCTGCGTCTGCTCAGTGAAAAGCCTGATGACAAGGAATGGTTCATGATCGTCAACTGGAACGGCCCGCACTACCCCATGAGTATCACCGAGAGCATGTACGGCCGAATGCGGAACCGAAGCTTCCCCCAACCAGTCGACTACACGGGCAACTTCACGGCTGAGATGCACAACCGCACGCGCGCCGACTACGCCGCGATGATCGAGAACATCGACTCCCACATTGGTCGCATCCTCTCCGCTGTGAACCTCAGCGAGACGCTCGTTGTGTTTGCGAGTGACCACGGTGAGATGCTGGGCGACCGCGGTCTGTGGGCCAAGGACGTCCCGTTCCAGCCATCAGTGAACGTCCCGTTGGTGATTGCGGGCGATGTGGTGAACGCCTCGCTGCAGGGGACGTCGACAAACGCGGGTGTGTCGCTCATCGACCTCGCTCGGACGTTCCTGGACGTCGGTGAGGTGGAGGATGTCCCTGCTCAGATGTCGGAGGCGCACTCCTTCCGGTCTTTACTTGAGGGTGTGCCACATGAAAAGCGCGTCCTTCGATCGGCACTAGGCACGTGGAAGCTGTGGTTCGACGGCCGCTACAAGTACGTGATCGGGTACAGCGACGACGAGCCCATGCTTTTTGATGTGGAAACGGACCCGCACGAGCGCTCGAACCTCCTGCTGTCCACCAATCCTACTGAGCTAGCGCACTATGCAAGCATCATCCAGTGGCTGCTGGGCAAGGGCGACGTCGTTGAGTAGGTAGGACTCCTCCTTTTGACGATGAACATAACGATCTAGCAGGGAAATGATTTTGCTTCATGGGGTCTGCACTTAATATCTCATTATTTCGCGTGTACTAAGTTTTCATCAAACTCATCACATTGACCATTTCGACGAGTCATGGCGGCAAAGTCATGGTCCAGCATCTCGACAACAACGACAATACTTGCTCGCATTCACTAGGTCGACACCTTGTCCGTGCGGCAAAAAAGAGTTCTCTATGTTTCAATGCCGCTCACTTAAATGATGAGCCCAGGAATTCGGAAGTCTCCACTTGGTCTCCGTGGAGCAAGTGGACGGTGCGCGACTGGCCATCACTGGTGGACAACTTGCTACAACACGCAGCGGATTTGACACCGCAGCATTTTCGGGCTGGATTGGCCGAGCGATCGCCAATAAATGCCCTGGAGAGCTTCAGCTGGAGCTTCAGCGGGCGCGTACGAGGGGCGTCGCGATCCAAGTGGCGGAGACCTTGAAGCCATCTTAGCAGAGCCCATCCCGGTGTCAACGACTAAAACACCGGCGACTTTTACTGCTTCGAACGTGGTACAAAACGTAATGTTGTGGTACATATTCACTGCGCTGCATGGGGGACTTGCATGGCATGGTGCAGAGTGCGCGAGGAGGGCTGGCAGTATTGTTTGGAGGGTGAAAGGAGCGCTCGCGCATTGAACTACCAAGTGAAAATGCATTCTGCAGCATTACCGTGCTATAGCTAGCTGGTATCGAGCCACCTTGGCACTTAGAACACACCTTATCCCCCATGGTCGATGTGTCGGTCTTGCTGGCCAACGAACTGTCCCGATGTACTGTCGTTCGACTTGACTCAAGCGATTTTGCTGTTACTCGCCTGCACACCCCTCTCAAGACTACGCGTAACATCATGCTCCAATATAACTCACGTGGTGCAATGCTCAGAGCTCAAGCCGAGGCAGCAGTCAACAACTGAAGTCCATTCCAACATTTGCCGTCTTGAGCTCACGTGGCCAACCAACAACTTTCAACTCGTTTAATTCCCAACTCTCCACGGATTCCACATCATGAGTTGGCTTCGCTCCCTCGCCGGGGGCCACCAGCGCCCCACCAACGAGCGCTTCCTCGCGCCCAAGAAAACGCCCTTCGAGCTCGCCCAGCACTACCTCCCCATTCTCAAGTGGCTGCGCAACTACAAACTCGGACAAGACCTCAAGTTCGACCTCGTCGCAGGCATCACCGTCGCCATGATGCTCATCCCGCAAGAGGTCTCGCTCTCCACCATCATGCACGTGCCCGCGCACCACGGACTCTACACGGCCGCCACGGCGCCGCTCATCTACGCGCTCTTCGGCTCCAGCACCGTGCTCTCCGTCGCCAGCGGCTCTGAGGTCGCGCTGCTCACCGGATCCATCCTCGAGCCCATCGAGGACGAGAAGGAGCGCGTCGCCACCGGCATCATGATCGCCTTCCTCAGCGGCGTCATCCTGCTGCTCGTGCGCGTGCTCAACCTCAGCCAGGTCGCCGACTTCTTCTCCCGACCCGTCATGGGCGGATTCATCTCGGCCGGCGGACTGCTCATCATGCTCTCGCAGTTCCAGAACGTGCTTGGCGTCAAGTTCGACTCGCAGGACTACCCCGTGCAGACGCTCTACCAGAACTTCAAGAACATCGGCCACTCCAACAAGAACGCGCTGGCCGTGGGGCTCATCTCCATCGCCTACCTCATCGGCGTCAAGCTCATCAAGAAGCGCTTCTTCCCCTCGCCTGTGCTCTCGCAGCTCTTCGACGACCCGGCCAAAACCAACTCCGCCAATACACAGCAGATTCCTGCTAGCGGCAACTTCGCTGACAGTCACGGATTCTCCATCACGGACGAGCAGTACGTCGGCCTCGCTTCGGCCCGCGCTCAAGCAGACGAGAACCAGGCCAAGTCGCTCAACCGCAAGTCCATCGACGACTCCACGCCCAAGTCCAAGCCCGTACTGATCGCCATCTTCTTCGCGCGCACCCTCTGCGACCTCGGACCCCTCGTCGTCTGCATCTTCGGCGGCATCGTGGGATACCTCCTCGGACCCAAGGCGCTCAAGCTCACCGGCACCGTGCCCGGCGGATTCCCCGCCCCCGTCCTGCCCTGGTACGGCTTCGACGACGACCTCATCGACGGCGGCCGCTTCGGCACCATCCTCGTCAACGCGCTCACCGTCTCGCTCGTCGTCTTCCTCTCTAGCATCGCCATGGCCAAGCGCCTCGCCATCCAGAGGGGGGAGGACATCAACACCGAGCAGGAGCTCACGGGCATCGGCGTCGCCAGCGTCGTCTGCGGCATCTTCCAGGCCATGCCCCCCACCGGCGGCATGTCGCGCACAGCCGTCAACATGCAGAACGCGCACACACAGCTCGCCTCCATCGTCACCACGCTCATCGTCATCATCGCGCTCTACACGCTCACGGGCACGCTCTACTACCTGCCGCGGGCCACGCTCGCCTCCATCATCATCGTCGCAGGCTACACGCTCGTCGAGTTCAAGGAGGCCAAGTGGCTCTTCCGCGTCAAGCGCGACGAGTTCTTCGTCTGGGCCGCCTCCTTCGTGCTCACGCTCGGCCTGGGCGTGCTCGAGGGCCTCATCGCCTCCATCGTCTGCTCCGTGCTGGCGCTCATGATCAAGACCAAGCGCTCTCCGGTCGTGATTCTCGGCCAGCTGGATAACGGCAGCCTCGTGGACCGGGACCTCTTTCCAAATGCTTGTCACCTGGACGGGATTGTTGTCGTTCGTGTGGAGAGTTCGCTGTACTTCGCCAACTGCGAGCGCGTAGCCAAAGCCATCGAACGCGAGATGGCTCGACTCCTGAAGAAGGGCATCACGACGCACGGCGTGGTGCTGGACGCGTACCACATGAACGACCTGGACGCAACTACGATCCAAGTATTGTCGGACACGCAGGAGAAGCTGGCGGTGCGCAAGGTTCGCTTCGCTATCGCCAACGCCAAGGGCCGACTCCACGACATTCTGGCGGCGACCAACCTGCCCAAGCGCATTCTTGGTGGCGATCCACGGGTGTCGGTGGAAGACGCGCTGCTCTTGTTGCGCGCTTTGCCAGTTTCAGGTAACACGTCTCCGTCGTCTTTAGGGGCGACCATCAATGTGCCGGTGTAGGGATGATGACCTTTCGCTGCAGGTGCAGCATGCATAGGGAATGCGCTACCCATCGTACCGTAGTCTCCACACAGCGTTTCGAAGCGAGAAACAAATTGAATGATGAATCCTTTTTGGGTGTGTTTTCTTTCGCTATGCAATTACTGGAAAGCCGGTTAAATAGTTTTAGAATTGTATTAATAATAATTGCCCTTACAAATGGACATGTTTCAACTACGTCCTGAAACAATCAATTAAATGGTAAAACTAGTAGTGGAGCATCTCAGTCGCGTTGCTCCGTTGAGTTGCTTAGGGGGCCGACACCCTGCAGTGTAATCTCCTCTGCAGGCCGACGTTCCCGCCCTCCCAATGGATCTAATGAAGCTATTGATTAATTGGGTCTAAGCCATCACGTGCAGATCGGTGCAGCTTCCGATCCGACATCACGTCTTCGATTAGGAACACTATTATCATAGAACTGCATGAAGAACTCGTCATTGCATGTAAGAAGTGCATTGCGAGCTTTACATGCTGGGGGTTGCACGCAATAGAAAACTAACTCCGAGTTGGGGCAACGGGTCCGTTCGCTGGAATGCTCGTCGCTGGGCCCGCCTACGCAAATACCGCGCGGGTTTGCTGCGGCTACGCTCCTCGCAACCGCACACTACCGCTTCCAGTGCTGACTGCACGCGAACAGGTCAATAGTGCTCTGGCTGGTGTAGGCACAAACTTGAAGCGAGAGTCTGTCGAATCTTATTCTCTTAAATAAACTGTAGGAGACCGAGTCGGACGCTCCCGTATATAAGCTTGCTGACCGTATCATCACAGCCGATAAACTGTAGCATTTTAGCTAAAGCTGCACCCATCGTCCTGTTGCTGAGCCAGATTAGCATTTCTCTGTTTGGAAAATGCCCTCTAAATCGTGTACCTCCGGTTTAATGACATACGGTCACTAAAACCCGCATCTTTATGCAGTGAAATCTCAAATCCTATCCACGTCAGAATTCTGGAATGTCAGTAAACACAGGATTTTTGGTCAAAAATGGCCCTGGGCGACTCAATCAGAATGTCAGCCCTAACCTGTTCCGTCTAAACTGATATCAGGTAAGTAAATGCAGTATGAACCCTTGAAAAAGCTAAGTATAAGTGAGTGCATCAATGTAAGTGGGGACTTCGTCCCCAATAAATATAATCCTGGTCACAACCAAATGGACTTGGCGAATGCAGGAGCAGACTCCGTCACCAAGCGTGGGCGGTTCAAGCAAGCTTGCCACAAAGCAGACAAGCGGACTCTTCTCCAAAGCAGTTCGGCATGTACGCCGACACTGCTGGCAGCAGATGCAATGCTAGACGAACGCAATAGCGAAACTGAAGAAGACAATTATTTTACCGAAGACGACGAGGTCAGCAGCGATCGGGGAGAAAGATCCGATAACGACTCGGGTCAGCATCTATTTGGCGTGGAGCAGTGCCTTCCGGTTAAGATTCTAGCACTGGGTCATGTGGTAAGTCATATCTACGAGCTACTTATGGCAAGTAGCGAGGCTGTCGTGGCGGCAGCACAGGCGGGAAGGATCGAGTGGCTGGAGAAGTTGCTGGACGAGTACGACTGCGACGTCTCCGAGGCAGCTGTGAGTACTGCAGCTGCAAATGGGCAGATTGAGGCACTGAAAGTATTGCTGCCTGAGGTCGACGGAGACTACGACGGGGAGGTCGCCGACGCTATCACCGTTGCTGCTGTGAAAGGCCATCTCGATGATGTACAGTTCTTGCTTCCTTGGGTTGATGACGACGAGAAGCGTAATGATGCTGCGTGGGAAGTATTGGAGGAAGCATCGGCTCATGGGCATTACGATACCGTGGAAATTGCAGCACAGCAAGCGAAAGAGGCGATGGGCAATAGTGAGACTGCGTACTCAGCGGGGGAAAGGGGTTACGCTCTAACTCGCGCGATTTCAGGTGGATATGTGGCGCGCTTATTACTCAGTCAAAACGAATTCCACTGGAATATAGATGTAGCATTGGAGCAAGTCGCAGCGTTGCGTGATCTCAGAATGGTGGAATTGATTCATCAGATGTTTCCAGAATTTGTGAAGTCTAGCGTGAAGGGTGGTTTCGTGACGCAGGCACGAAAACGTGATTCCTGGTGGGGGGAGGCGCAGCGGTTAAGAAACCCCCGCTCAGAACAGTGCTCGGCGTCTGAGGACGGTGGGCGGCCGAGAGGTAAAAGCTGTGGAGCTGCCGGACGCTACTGCTCATTCGGCCTTTCGCCTCAAGCCTCGCAAGTAGTCCTTACTCCTCACCTCTGCCCCCTCCCAGCTCCAGCCTCGACCTAGTGCCGATATCGCCCCCAGCCCACCCACGCACCACCTGGCAACATCGTCCGCTCATCCATCCCCGTCCCGGGCCACGAGCATCGGCCCGGCTACGGTCGTGACGGAAACACCGGCCCAGCTTCACAACCACCAGGATCGGAGCCCGCTGAGGCGGATGGCACTCGGCCGACCCCGTCCTCGACTTCGACAACTCCTTGCGCGAGCGCAGAATTCAGAAGCGGAAAGCAGAGGGTGCCGTACGCTCGGCGGAGCGGAAGAAAAAACTCGCGTGACCGGCGCCTTGCGGTCTAGACGATCTGCTGGCGTCGCCGTCACTTTCGCCCACATCAGCTACCGCGCCACGGGCAAAAGCGGCTGTCAAGCAAAACCTGGGCACCGCCGCTCGAGCAGCGAAACTTGCCCGAGATGTGCAGGCAGTCCAGCGCGGGGGTTCGAAGTGCGCCGCGGACTCTGGCGCGGCCGGCGCTGCCCCAGCGGTGCAGCCCGGTACCTCCTCCAAGCACCAACACAAAAGGGACTCAATCATCTACCTCGACAGTCCACCTTCACCGGGCGATGCCGGCGAACATGCTGCGCGGTCACCATCAGCAGGTCCGTCGCCATTTGGGTCGTCTGCGCCGCCGGCGAAAGGACGAGCCAGTGCACAGACAGCTCTCTCGGGATCTCGCGAGATCGACACCAGCGACAACTTTGACTTAGCCTCATTTCTTTCGGGCCCACAGGCAGCCAGCGGGGCCGCCCCCAGTGGATTCCCAGGCGGAGCCACGGGTGACAACGCCACTGAACGTCTTGCAGCTCAAGTAGGCTCTCTCAGCGCCCTGGTCATTGACATGAGCAGGCGTCTGGACGCTGCCGAAGCCAACCCGACTATGACTCTGGCGCCGCCGGCCCGCCCAGAGCTACAGCCAATCATGGTTGACGGGACTCGTACCGTCTCTTGGACTGTACCTGCGCTCCACACGAGTGAATTACCACCGGCGCAGTTACGCGAGCTGCGATCGACTAGCTTCCCGTCGCTCAATCAGCGGAGCCGCAGCGAGTTTGTACCGCACGTCACGCACATCCTTGCCGCCTATAGAAGTATCGCAAACCTGTCTCGCTCCGACGGTGCGTTCACCCCCCTACCGACACGCTCCTGTGGATTCGTCGCCTCGCCAGCATCCCTTTCGACTCGAGTATTCTGGTCTCTACGGCGTGCGCATTGGTTCTCAAGGCCTGTCCCTTTCCACTTCCGCCCTCTGTCGGACGACGAGAGGCTCAAGCGCAGTTCGAACAACACCAACTTCTCGCTGGACTTTAGTTCAGCAGCTCAACCGCCACAGCCCACCGAGTGCACAACTTACGACGATATTCTACTCGCACTCAGCGGGCTCAGCTCCTTCGGTGCAACTCACTGGTACCCGCACATGAATCGCCTGCTGGATCAACTCCGTCGATTTGTCTTCGACAATCAGAGGGCCGACCCGGCTAACACCTCGGAACGCGTGACACGCACGCTGCAGTATGCGAACGTCTATCTTGGTCGCGCTGTCGCTCACCTGTCGGAAGACTCGCTAACATGGTGGAGGGATTTCTGCGCCGACACCGAGGCAATCGAGTACAGGTCGGTCGAATGGCTGCTCGCGCTGCAGAGTCTCACAGCCACAGCCCAATCTCAACCTGCTCCACTGCGCGCGCCTCCACAGGCCGGGCAACCACGGCGCGCGCAATACAGCCGCCCCAGGCTATGCCAGACAACATCCGAGCCCTGGTGCCTCGTCGTTCAGACGGTACGGAGCCATGCCTGCGCTTCTTCGGCGGCGGCATGTGCACCGGAGGTACCCGAGACCGCTGCGCGTACTCATTCCGCACGCACACGTGGGATGGTCCTCTACCCAGAGACCTAGTACCGTACATTACCAGGCAGTACGGCACCACCCGCCGCGGTCATCACGGCCCTCGCCGCCCCTGAGGGTGCCGAGGCGCTACCGGCTCACAGGCGCTTCGGACCCCAACACTTGATACCATTGCCGCTAATACAAACGCCGCATTGTTTATCCCCTCTACTTCTGAGCCCGTGGATCTGCTTACGCACCCACGTAACGTACTAAACCCACCACACAGTGACACTACCGTGCACCTACATACGCCGACTCACCATAATGGTAGTCAAACCAAATACACCTTCCCTTCTAGAACGCACTATGAAACCGCGATGCCTCAGATCGTATCCAACCTCACCGCCAACCCCGGCCAACAACACATAACGGCAGATCTGCTATCTCGATACCCTGCGCCCAATCCAACGTCCTATGCGGCCTCACTCGAACCGCGCGATCATCAGGTCACGCACGCACCCCATCATGGCGCGCGCATTGCCGCATCCACATCCGCTAGGCTACCTCCTAGCGCAGCTACAGAAACAGCGGATCGCCCGTTTCCTTGTATATCTCAACCGCTCCGTGCCCCACCCAGCGCACTCCAAGTGTAGCAGGTCCTGTCCCGGGGACGGAGGTGGGCCAATATATGAGCAAGTATACGGGGCAAGGCTGTGGCGACGGCGTTCAGCGCAGTCCACCTATCACTATCGAACAGGGACTTCCCAACGGCGGAATGGGCCGGCGGCCGCCAGCAGTTCCAGCTGCACAAGCTACTACAGAGTGCGGTACCTGAATACGTACGCCGCACCCAGTGCTCACTTCCCACCCTAATCGAGCTGCTACGCGGGCAGACGACGTCCGACTACCGTCCCAATAAGGATATCGTTCCTGCCGTCATACAGCAAAGCTGCAGAACGTACCCCAAACTACATACCCTGCTGCCCATTGTGCAGGAAGGGATTACTGTGACTCTAACGTCACCAATGCCCCGCCAAACCAGCCCTCCACGAAACCACCCGTCCGCCACCAAGAGACTTAATGTCCTCCGCAAGAACATCCGGAAGGAGCAGGACCTCGGCCGCTGCATCGTCGTCGACCGTGCCGTCGCCCAATTCTGGCCCGAGCTGTTCTTGAGTCCCTTCGGGGTGATCGACAAGGGCAACGGTGACCCCGACGTAGCCGGCCGGGTCATCCACGACCTATCCTTCCCAGAGGGGGCGTCCGTCAACGATCACACCGACGCCGAGTCAGTGCCCACCGCCGAGTACAAGCACTGCGCAGCTATCGCTCGGGAGATTCTCGCCCAGAAAGAACGCTGTCCCGGGCGCAGCATCAAAATTCTACTAGGGGATGTGGCAGCCGCCTTCCGTAACCTTGGCACGCACAGCCATTCAGCTCACCTCTTTGCCGGGACGATTCCCGAAGACGACGCCCTCGTCATCGACCTCTCGACCTGTTTCGGCTGGACAGGATCACCGGGATTCTACGGAGTCATCGGCGATGCGATCGCCCACATCCACGGCACAACCTCAAACGCGTATTACCCAAACGGGTTTTTCAACTATCACTGGGTCGATGACCACGTCTGCAGCAATGCAGACGTCGGGTCAAACTGAACAGACGTGGAGCAGTCACTTCGATCAGCCATGACCCTCATCCTGGGCCTGGACGCAGTCAACGACGACAAATTCACTCCCTGGGCAACATCCCAGAAGGTCCTGGGCCTGGTATTCAACACCATCGCTGGTACAGTTTCGATTCCAGCTGACAAGATCGTCAAAGCCCGCGCTCTCGTCACCGACGCCTACAATACGCGCGCTCTAAGCCGCAATCAGTATCGATCTCTCCTGGGCTCCTTTCGTCACGTCACGACTTGCATCCGACCGGCCAAGGCGTTTCTCCAACGCCTACGCGCGGCAGAATCCAAACTATACCGATGGACTTCGGTCCCTATGACACCTCACATGCGAGAGGACCTTGCTTGGTGGAGAATCATCCTCAACTCACCCACCCTCAATGGCGTCCCCCTAGAATACTTCCGTCACAGCCCTCCTTCCGACTTTACAATTGAAATGGATGCATCCGACACGGGCCTATGCGCCCTTGACCGTGCCCACTGCCGGGTACTCTCTTACCGGTTCTCCGAGACCGAACTAGACCTCATCCGAGTCTTTAACGCCGACGCATGCAACGAGTTTGACATCAACTATCGCGAGCTACTCTCGTGTGCTTTTTTTTGCCGTACACGCATGGGCACCGGCGTGGCGAGTCAAGAGAATGGAGACCCCTCACACGGCCCCGTGCACTTTCGCATCGATAACACGTCTGCGGTGGCGTGGCAAAACAAAATGTCCTCCTCGAACACTCGAGCGCAAACGACCATACGTCTACTGAGCTACTGGGAAATGCACTTTGGCCTGAGATTATCATCTTCGCACATACCCGGCGCCGATAACGTCATAGCGGATGCTGGCGCTCGGCTTTCCAAAGACCACCGTGCCCACACCACCTTTACTAACCTTACATATGCCTGGTCACAGACTTAGCCTAAGACAGACATTAATGGTCTGGAACGGATCTGGCAAGATATCTCCGCGAGCATTCGGTGGCAGACTCAACCTACCGGAAATATGAACGAGCGTTCGGCACATGGCAAGCGTTCATCACCCGCCGCGGGGTGAATCCGTGGCTCAGCGGCGTCCCAGTGGCGGCGCAAGTCCAACACGTATCCGATTTCAGGGTTCCAGCAGGGCTATGGATCAGGCCGGCCGGTCCGTAGCGCCACGATCGCGAACAACTTGATGGGAGTCCGCCACTTCTTCCAGGCGTCGAGACAACACTTCCCAGTTGACCATCCACAGGTCCGCATGCTCCTCAAAGGCATCAGCCGCCTGGATAGCCCACCAGAGCGCAAGGCTCCCGTGTCGATCCAGCTGCTGGAGGCGTGCTTCGCGTCCCTCAACCTTGCTTCCTTCTCGGACCAAGCCTTATGGGGGTTCTGTGTCTGGCGTTCTTTTTCCTGCTTCGGAGGTCGGAGATAACATCCATCAGCGGGGCTGGTTTGCGCTGAAAGCTCAGGACGTGGCCGTCTTCGACCGAGCTGACAACGCTACCCTGGACGCGAGCGCAGCAACAACAGTGCACATCAGGCTCCGCGGATCCAAAACCAACCAGGCAGGGCAAGCGACAACTCGCATGCTACGACGCTCAGGTCATCGCTTCTTGTATCCGGCCCGAGGGGCGCTCCTTCTCCTACGATCGCGGCGATCACTGCCAGCCGAACTGCCGGCGGCCATGTACATGTCCCGCTCGGGGGAGCCCAGCTCAATATCGGCGCGGCAGGTGGCGAACACAGTCCAGGACGCGGCAAGACGCATCGGATGCGACCCACACGAGTACAGCACACACTCGCTCCGGTCGGGAGGGGCCACACACATGTACCACGCCGGCGTGGACGCCCTGATCATCCGGTTTTATGGCCGTTGGGCATCGGACACCTTCAACATATACACTCGGCTCTGCCGGGAATCGGTATCTCGTCTAGCCGCAAGCATGGTAAGTGGGGTGAAATCTGCAACAACTCTCCAGTGACGGCCCCAGCGACCGCCTTACTTGGGGGGGGGGGGGGGGGGGGGGAGGGGGGCTCAGCCACGCCCAACTTGGACAAGGCTGCGGCCGGCGCTGCTAGCCACCACCTCAATAAAGTTGCAGATTTGCCCCAACGTCACTGTGCCGACTGATGTAAAGGAAACCATAAAACTCGCAGATTCATGTTGAAATCGCACTAAAACGCTACTACCCTCCCTGAATAAAATGTGTGTATTTATTGTGAAAACCGATTAGAATGTCTTATTGGATTGTTAATCCGCCGATTTAGTGGCTTAATAAGACCTACGACCCCCCATTTGTTAAATCCGACCTCCTAATTAGACTGGGGTACCTCGATTTATACTCAAGATTATTACCTAGGACGACTTACAGAGTCAGAGCATACGAGTCGGATTTACATTTGGTAATCGACCGATTAAGCCAGGGCCGGCCGATTTGCTTGCCATTCAGACGAAATGTCCGATGTGCAACCGGCATTCGCTCTTTGTAGGCTAAATCAGCCGCCAGACAAGAATCGTTGCAGTCGCTCTTGGCTAGGTAGTCAAGGCTACAACACTAACATCAGAACTAAGCAGGAAAAGCCGCACGCTATAATACACGTAACTGAGATATGCAGGCGACGCGTTTAAGCGCGGTGTTGTCGCTGCACTTGGCGAGTCTCGGGCCGAGGGCACATGCATGTTGATCGAAATTGCTAGGCTGCACATAATTACGAGACCGATGAGCGATTTATACTCCGATTATAATTGAGACATCCCCAATTTATTAGTCTTCAAATCCGCTATGAGCGATGTTTAACCGGCTAATTCAGCAGGACAGACCAATCGGTTTTCACAATAGTTTTTGTCTTGGTAAAGCTGAAGTCATATGCAAAAGGAAAAGTAAGTTTCTTCAGCAGCTCTGGACGAAAGCAGTCTCAGTTGCTACTGGCTCTTGGACAGCAGCGTGGTCACCTCCTCCAGCAGACGAATGCGGTCAGCTTTCGTCGGAAGTCGGATGGCAAAAGCTGCGAACTGAGGGCAGCGAGTGCAGAAAACCACTTCGGGCACGGGCCTGCGGCATAGCCGGTAAATCGCATACAGTACCCAAAACGCAAGTAGCGCGCCACCACCGCCATAGTAGGCGTCACAATCGACGCATCTACCATCGTCGTTGTAGTAGTATGACCTCGAGTACCGCGTCTCCTGCAATCTCCCAATCACCAAAAGGGTGGCACCAGCCGCAGGAGACCCAACGAGCAGGAGAAAGTTGGCGAGTTTCTTCAGCCAGCTTTCAGCAACGCGGCCGTAGTTGTCCACAGCAACTTCGCACACGTCCTTGAGGAAGACCTGGCGTAACAATGACGCCGTCTTGAAGCAGCAGTTCTTCCGATAGGTCTCGAAGTAGTTGGTGCGGCGATTCGTGAGCTGGATGCGTCGAATTTGGCCCTCCCGACAGAAGTTGTTGCAGACAGGGGTCTCCGCGGACTCGGCGACAATCTTCTCTCCTTCGAGTAGTCGGGTCTTGAGCAGCGATTTTTCGGCATTGACGACAACAGGAACCTGGTTAGCGCTTACCGGAGCCTGGTTGTGGAAGCTTCTTGGTTGAGGGAGTAGGTGGGGCTTTCGAGGAAAAAAAAATGAAGTGATTGGCCGTGTGCAAGGCATGCACGAACACTCCTACTTCTTTCAACGAACGGTTAACCGCTGAGATACTACGATGAGACCATACGTTCAGCTAATTGCGTAAAGTCGCAGTCGCCTTGTTCAAGAAGAAGAAAAAGTTGATTAACTAGATAGTGGACATGCGGTTTCGCTAGCTACGGTAAGTTATGGTAATATCTACTTGGACAACTGAATTATGGCCGCGGAATCCAAATTCGACAACCCTGTTGGGGTAAACTAATTGGTTTGGGTGCATCAAACCCAAGTCGTTGAAGCACCGAGTTTATTGCATCACCGTCCAGTTTCAGCTCTTCAGAATGCTGGAACATGTATTGACAATGTCGGCGAAATGAGCTCACCAAACCTTGAGTGCTTGGTTGCTCTATTGCTGCTTCCTCAAAATGGATATCGTTGCGTAGACGCCATGTAGCATGGAACACAATTGCTATGTGAACTCTCCATAGCAGCAAAATGGTTTTATGTTGTTGCTTCCAATCTGCTTTGATGTCCCGTGGCTGCGGAAAAAGCAGTAGCCTTCAGCTTAACGCGGCGTGGAACGCCTTGCTCCATCGCGCCCACAGTGATTGCCACATATCGTTCAAGCCGGGGCTTAGTCGCCTTGTTCAAGGCTATCAGGAATAGACGGAGGACTCCTTGGTATCTCGTTTATCTATAAACCGATCAGATCTCTGTGAGTGAATAGAGCAATAACAACTGTGATACGCCGCCTCCCCAACATTGACCGCCCCAGTCAGGAGTTGTCGGTCCATAATATCTTTTGGACTTCATCATGATGTAGATTATGTTTCTACATTTTAAACGAAACTTGCACAACCGAGCTAGACGATTAACTACATCGGCGATGCACAGATACATGTGTACAAGGGATTAACGTCCCCAAGCAGGATTCTATATCTATTGTATGGCGAACATTCGTAGGATGTTCGGGTTACCGGATACGGCGAGAGAAGTTTCGAAACCTCTAGTATTCTTAGGGCAGTTTAGATGAGATCCCGAGAACGAGAAGCATCTCTCTAGCTCCCATGGGACACTCACTTTTCAATCCTCCTCGTCTTAGTACCCCGCCTCACCATCATACTCAAGGCTGGTCGAAAGTCAATCAGTGAACATTCCTCGATGTTTTAGAAACGGGACTGGGGTGGCAACCACGATAATGACCGCAGTTGACGCAACTCGATCTAGCAAATAAAACTATAATAGGACTTCTAGGCCACATGAAGCTTGAACTAGAAGAATCAAAATACAAACTTACTTTTAGGGTGAGGAACTACTGTGCACATGTTGTACAGTCGTTGCACACGTTTGACATCGCGATAATTACGTAGCTGCACGTATTCGCCGTCCAACACCGGGTCGTGCAACAAAAGGGTCATGCCTCTCAGCCAAAATTTGACGGCCAACTTCATCGTCTCGACATCGGGGACCCCCATTTGGGCTGCAAGTATGGCGTATGGCAGCCCAACTACGACGAACAACCAAGCAGAATACAACGGGCTGCTCACCGGCCTGGTATACGCACACAGGGCGAACATTGACCCGCTATTTGTTGTCGGGGATAGTCAGCTCATCATTCGGCAGCAGCGGACTCGCGCCGAACCACGAGCGCATCATTTGCGTCAACTTTATATGCGATGCAGAGTGCTGGCAGACAAGTGCAAGGTAGTCAAGTGGACACATCAACTCAGGGCATTTAACAAGACAGCGGACTCGCTAACCAACTTGGCTATGGACACCGCTCGCAGCAGACAAGTGATATTTTCTCCAGAAACTACGGATGATCACTTCCACACGGTAGTGATGCGATACGCTGCTAGTGATCTACGCAAATGGCTGGATGATTGTGCAGAAGATCGCAGATAAAACTTTTCCGGGTTGGTCCACCGCATAAACGGACCGAAGACCTGCCAGCGACGGAAACGGGCGTAGGTAGGAGGTGTGATTAGAGGTCGTAAGTGACAACAACACATCTAATAATTAAAAAAAAACTTCATCGTCTCGGAGCACAAACAGAGCATCGTAAAACACATCATTTCCCAAAATTCTATCAAATACTAAATATTTTTTTATAAGAAAGCCCTTAACCCCCTAAAGCAAATCTGGATCTGCGATACTAACTAACCAGAGGGAAGTATATTTGAATGCAGTCGTGCTGTAACTAAGGTTTGCGTTGCTTAGCCTTGAGTAGCCACGAATTGACGCAAACTGTTGGCCACACTTACCTAACAAACCTCTTCTCCACACGCCCGTAGCAGCTGCATTTAATATAGCTTGCGCCCAGAGCTTAAAACGTAAGTGGCCACAATGTCCCTGAATCAATTGTGCCCTTACATTTCGAGATTTATAGAATCAATGATTGGCACCAACGACTTGTCCTCATCTTGCTTACTCATGAGTATCTTGCGGCTTATTCAATTCACCAAACCGTATTCTATATAAAAATTGTACGTTTTCATAAACTTCTGTACTTCGCAAAAATCTTCTTTTACCGATACTAAATTTCAGAGCTTCTTCCTGGACGCGCGATTGTAGTCATGAGCATCTTGCAGCTTATTTAGTTCAGCAAACGCAACTTAATAAAACATGTCCATGCAGAAGGTAAAGATTAAACGCGAATGCAACTGAAAGTTGAGAGATTGGGATTTTGGGTGTTTATTTTGCACCAATGCTGCGTCTCCGCTCCGCTCTCATTGGTTATTGGACAACAGCGTGGTCACCTCCTCCAGCAGCTGAATACGGTCGGTCTTCTTCTGAAGTCGAACGGCAAATACCGAGGACTGGGGGCAGCGAGTACCGAAAACCACATCGGGTACCGACTTTCGGATTGGTGAGCTGGATGCGTCGAATACGGCCCCCTCGACAATAGCCACTCCACACTGGGGTCTCTGCAAATTCAGCGACAATCTTCTCTCCTTCGAGCAGCCAGGTCTTGAGTAGCGATTTCTCGGTGTTGGCTGCGACTGGAACTACGTTAATGTCGACCATCTTGAAATTTTCTCGATAGGGAGGAAGGCTGGCAATTGCGTGCTGAGTGTATGGCCTGTTGTATTTTAACACATTAAAATGTCTTCCTGTTGAAGATAATACATTCTGGGAAAAGCTAGGGAGCGCCGAAAGCGGAGCACCGGAGCAGAGAAAGACCGTGCATACGATGGCAGTAACACCACATGAATGATTTGACTTCAGCGCAAGATCGAGATAAAGATACGTGTATGTATTTTAGAATACAGATCAAAGTGCACCTTAAAGTCAAAGCGGTCATTCGTCTAGTGCTCGCAGTCCGGCATAACCCCACGTACGGGGCGGACAGAATACCTGCTGGAACTCGGTATCATCGCAGTCGAGAAGGGCTTGAAAGGACGATAGTTGCGCTGGGATTCTTGTTGCGGCTGCTTGGTCTTGGGCAATGATTTCGAATCTGGAAGGCTTGCGGCGTGTACTGTGAATGCCGTATCCGACTCGGTGGGGGTCATGTTGGGTTTGTTGTCATCCACTGCGGAGGGAGGCAGGCTCTATGATGCGTGGAGGTGCACTCTTGAGAGCCGATGGCAGCCACCAGTGGCGATCAAAGTGCAGTGGCTCCAGCTTTAGCAGACCTTCAGAGTCGATGATACGCATGAGCTCATGCAGGCAAGGACGGCCATGGATTCTTCGAAATGTCCACTTCTTTCTAGCCCATGGACAACAATTTTATGAGCCTGATCAAACTTCGCCATGAAAATGTCGGTCGCCAGCAAGTTCGTTTTCTTCTTCCCCATAGCGACAGCGTTTCGAACAGCAGTACGCGATCAAGAGTCTCTGGGCAACATGTCGTATGACTTCTTTTTTTACTTTTGAATCTGAATGGTAAAATTGTGATGGGTTTGCCCAGCTAATTTCACCATAGTAGGGTCCGTCATGAAAAGATTGGTGTACTGAACAGTGGTAAATTGCTTGTGTGGAGCGGTAAGTATGCATGTACCTGCGTGCTTCCACACCACGCAATCGATGTGGTGTTCAGTAATAACCATAGATTTGGCGCACACTTTCGTTGAGTTTGCTTCCAGGACAGCTGGCGGGACTTGGCTGCTTGGATCAAGCAAGGGCGAGAACTTGTCCGCAATGGTGTTTATTATCGCCACCTGTATTCACGCTTCAGTTATCACAGGGACACCTGAGAACCACAGCTGAGGAGAAGAAGAAGAAGAAGAATGTTCGATTACCGATTATTTGTCTTCTCAACTTGCTTAGTAGATGCTAACTGTATGTTGTGAACTAATCGACTAGCGTCTCAAAGACGATACCTGTTCGATGATTCAGATGTAGTTGGACGTGGCGTATTCGGAATGTGTCGGGGTGGCGTCGATGGAAATCTCCAAAAGAACTGCTTTCAGCCAGCTTCGTAATGATCTTCTTGAGTATCTGTTGTTTAGGCTTCTCCGCACGTCTCAACAGGCGACGGTAGTGCATCTTGCTGGCTGCCGCAGCATCAATCCTGACAAACGCTTGCACTCGGTCCTCCGTCGACCTTCATCAGGTAATCCCACCCCGCCACCTCGACCGCATTCGCCGCCGTCATTGGCGAGCACGGAAGCCTCCGAAGCATTACTGTACTCGGCGCGTGTCCTAGTCGCATTAGTCGTCTGCGGTGGCCACGTCTCTCCGCGCGGGGCTGAAGCGGAGCTGAGACCGACCACCTCGAATCGATCCAGGACACGCAGACCCATTCCAGCTTTTGCGGCGCGCAGCTCAAGTCCAAGTCCACCGCAGACTGATCCCAAGCGATGGCGTCGTGCGTCCGCCGACTCACGGGCCACCGCGAGAGCGAGCGCTTCGCGCTGCCCAAGAGGACGTGGGGGCAGCAGCTGCAGCACTACGCGCCGATCTTCCGCTAGCTGCCGCGCTACAACGTGGCCAAGGACCTCAAGTTCGACGTGGTGGCTGGCATCACGGTGGCCATGATGCTCATCCCGCAGGAGGTGTCGCTGTCGACGATCATGAACGTGCCGGCCCACCACGGACTCTACACGGCCGCCACGGCGCCGCTGGTGTACGCCATCTTCGGCTCCAGCACGGTACTGTCGGTCTCTAGCGGTTCCGAGGTGTCGCTGCTGGTCGGCACCATCCTGGAGGACATTGACGACGAGGACGAGCGCGTGGCCACGGGCATCATGATGGCCTTCCTCAGTGGCTGCATCCTGCTGCTCGTGCGCGTTTTGAATCTGAGCCAGCTCGCCGACTTCTTCTCGCGGCCGGTCATGGGCGGCTTCGTGTCGGCCGGAGGGATCCTCATCATGCTGTCGCAGTTCTCCAACGCCTTAGACATCAAGTTCCCGTCGCAGGACTACCCGCCGCAGACGGTGTACCAGATCTTCAAGCACATCGGCAAAACCAACTTGACGGCGTTCGCGGTGGCCGCCATCTCGATCGCGTACTGCTCGGAGTCAAGATCTTCAAGAAGCGCTTCGTCCCGTCCCCTGTATTGATGCAGCTCTTCGAGCCGGACAAGCCGACCAAGGACGACGCTCAAGTCAAGTCCGAGGACATCGAGCAGATCCAGACGCCCGTAATGAACAACGAGGTCTCGCACAGTCATGGCTTCTCCCTCACGGACCAGCAGTACGTGAGCATGGAGACTTCGCTCCACCGTCGCGGTGACTACACTCCAGTGACCGAAGCTGCAGAGAAGAACCTGGCGGATGAAGCCCCAAAGAAGTCCACCACTAGGCTCCTTGGGATCTTCATCGTACGGACGATTTGTGACCTGGGCCCCCTGGTGGTGTGCATTGTTGGAGGTATAATCGGTAGGGCGCTTGGCTCATCGCGCCTGAAGCTCACGGGTTCGATCCCCGGCGGATTCCCCGACCCTAAGGTGCCCTGGTATGGCTTCGACTCGGGCCTCATTGACGGCGACCGCTTCGGAACGATCCTGTACAACTCGCTGACTGTGGTCGTCGTCGTGTTCCTGTCAAGTATCGCCATGGCCAAGCGTCTAGCCATTCAGCGTGGCGAAGACATCAACTGCGACCAGGAGCTCACGGGCCTGGGTATCGCCAGCGTCGTGTGCGGCTTCTACCAGGCCATGCCCCCCACGGGTGGCATGTCCCGCACAGCCGTGAACCTGCTCAACGCGCACACGCAGCTCTCGTCGATCATCACTACTCTGATCGTCATCCTCGCGCTGTACACGCTGACCGGCGCAATGGCGTACCTCCCGAGCGCCACGCTCGCCTCGATCATCATCGTCGCCGGCTACTCGCTTGTCGAGTTCAAGGAGGCCAGTGGCTCTACCGCGTCAAGCGCGACGAGTTCGTTGTGTGGACGGCGTCCTTCATCCTCACGCTGGGTCTGGGCGTGCTGGACAGCCTTATCGCGTCCATCGTCTGCCCCGTGCTGGCGCTCATGTGGAAGACCAAGACGTCGCCCGTGGTGATCCTCGGAGAGCTCGACAACGGCCGATTCGTGGACCGCGAGCTGTTCTCCGAGGCGCACGACCTGGGCGACGTCATCGCCATCCGCGTCGACAGCTCGCTCTACTTCGCCAACTGCGAGCGCGTGGCTCTCTTCGCTGAGCGCGAGATGGTTCGTCTTCAGGCGCACGGTGTCACCACGCGCGGGGTTGTGCTGGACATGCAACATGAACGACCTGGACGCCACGACGATCCAGGTGGTCAGGAGAAGCTGGCGGTGCGCGGCGTGAGCTTCGCCATCGCGAACGCCAAGAGCCGCCTGCACGACATCGTGGCGTCTACGATATCATCAAGCGCATCCTGGCCAAGGACCCCAGCATCTCGGTCGAAGAGGCCGTGCGCATGCTGCACGATCTACCGACGTCGGGCCACACTTCTCCATCCTCCATGTCCCGACTGTCGACGGTGTAGGACAAGGTGTAAGCAGCCAGTGCATCCTCTGTAGATAAAACCAATGAACTTATCCATTTCGTATACAAGCATACTCGTTTCATCCGCACGACTGCAGTACATGTACATTATCAACGTGGCAGTAACCTTTGAAGTCTATCCTGCGCTGGGCGGAGTGCTGATGTCTGAGCCGCAGTCCTTGCATCTCGTGGCGGCTCCCTTCACGAACTCCTTGCAGTACGGGCACTGCTTCTTCACGCCCACCTTGAGCTTGAACACGAACTCGAGTGCTGTTGCGCAAAACGGCACAACATCATTGTAAGCGCCCCTGACCACATCCATCGTTTTTATTTTACGCACCTTTCTTCACAGCAAAGAAGAGGAAGAGAGCGTTGATGACGAAGTTCATGATGTTCTCAAAGAACAGCCCATAGTTGATGGTTACGGCGCCGGCGTCCCGGGCTACAAGTCAACGGAGCAAGTTGGACGTCCACCCTATTTGAAATTAAAAAATAAAACAATCTGTCCCCTTACCTTCCTTCCAAGTTTGCCACGAGTCACTGGAGCACTCGGGTGTAGTCGTTGGTCATCGCAACGGCCAGTAGTGGTTTGCGATTCCTCGAGCTACACACAAGTCAAACTCCCAGTTAGTACTAAGCCTATCAATGGTAATGTCACGTTCGCCTTACCTGTGAAGAGGCTGATGATCGGCGCTAGAATGTCCGTGACCAAGGAGTTGAGGATGGCGGAGATGGACGAGCCCAGGATGAGACCCACCGCCATGTTGAGCATGTTGCCCTGCTGGATGAACTCCTGGAAGTCGGTGAGGAGAGCACGAGTCGTCACGATCTCCCGGTTCGCCAGCTCTTGCACGGTCTTGCACTCGATCGAGCAGCGAGATATTCTCCGGCGGGGGTGGCGGGGGTGCAGCGAACGGATTCCAGCGCATGGTAGTGGACAACTAAGGACTAAAGACGGATGAGCTCAAGGCAGAGCGGGAGTCCAAGTGAATGAACTTCAGACTCGCTGGTCTCCACAATTAAGGGGATGAGCGAGCGGCAGAGGATCAGATTCGTCGACAGGTGTCGTACTTAACGAAAATGCAGCCATGTTTAACCCCTTGGTTCCCAACGTCGTAAGTTACGACTTTGCGTTTTGGCGACTTTGCGTTTTGGCAAAGTCGTATAATACGACATTGAGGAAGCTACAAAAGCAAATGGCTCGGCCAATACTTAAAGCAAGTCATTTCCAAAAAATAAGATGCAAGAGGTAAGATAGACAAATTCAAAGACAGGTCAGCGGGAATGAGAGACGCGCGATGGGATCCGGAGTCATTCTAGAACTTGCCGGATGGCGCGCATTCGTACAAGTCGTCGTGGGAAGACTGCGGCCGTCGCTGCGGTCGCACGGGAGATCGACTTCGGGCATTTCTGGCGCCAGCTCCGCGCCGTAGACTGGACCGCGAAACGTCCAAGAGGGATTCAAAAGGACTGGAGCTACGTAAGCTCCGATGGCGCTACTGTGCTTGTAGGCGAGGACGCAGTCGTTCAGCATGCGATCTAGTCCGGACTATTAGGCAGCAGCACGAATGACGACAACGAAAGCAAGAGCGAAAAAGGCACCGCTGCTGACGTCGACGGCCAAGGGGATGAAGATATCCGTGCGTCGCAGATCGACACGACTGCCCAGCTCTCTCAGCACACTCTGGACGCGTTGTTTGAAGCCCCCAGTCAGCCAAACGTTGAGCTCTCCCAGACCGCTGTGTCCCGGGCATTTGATTTGTCCCCGAGTACGCTGTTGTCGGATGACATAGAGCAAGTTGCGGCTACAGGAGATCGGCGAGCGGGCGTAACGAGTGAGCAAGAGGCAAGGCAGGCCCCAGCACAATCAGCAGGGCGAGTGTTACGACCCCGCGTCCAAGTGAAGCAGGACATCAACATCGTTCCTGAAGACGAGCGTATGAGTGACTATGAGAGCTTTAGCACCGAAGAGAGTGAGGGAGAAGACGCCATTGATGATGACGATGACTGCAGTGCTGCTAGTGACGACGAGGAGACTATGTCTGAAGACGACGCTGTACAGTTGGATGAAGCGTTTATCGCATCGCTTCTAATTGGTAATAACTCTCTTACCAAAAAAGAAGCTGAGCAGCGAGCAGCGGCACAACGTGCCAAGAAGTGGACTTCTGCGTCGTCGGCGTTCGAGGATGGCGTGACCCCCTACCCAGGCTTGCAGATGGAAGAAGCCCGTCCCGTTGCTGAGCTGCGTGTTCTTTGCCACTCGCCCCTACTTACATTCTTCTACTTCATGCCGAAGTCGTTGCGAGTCACGATAACCGAGGAGACGAACGAGTACAACAAGCAGCAACTGGACCAGCGCGCTGAAGCTATTCTAGCTAAGCAAGGTATCCGAGTTAGCGGGCGTCCTCGCAAAACGTTGGCTCAGATTCGTCGGCGCTTAAAGTCAAGTCCGCTGTATGAGACCCACAAGATATTGCACGTCGTTGGGCTTCTCATTGCCCGTATGCTCTGCCCGCAGCGGCGTCGTTTTGCTGATCACTGGTCGATGACTGAAGATGGCGCTATTCCGGCAGGGACGTTCGGTCGGTTTATGGGGCGTAATCGGTGTCAAAGCATCTTACGCGACTTGCACTTTGTCGACAACAAGGCCACTCGCACACGTGACAAACTATGAAAGCTTCGCCCAGTTGTGAACAAGCTGCAGCAGCAGTTTTTAGCCGCATGGACGCTCCCGGCTGTGTTTTCCTTTGACGAAGGCGTGCTTCCTTCGACCTCAAAGCGCAATACGACTCGAATGTTCATGAGACAAACCCCATCGTTATGGTTCTAAAATGTTCATGCTGTGCGATTCAAGAACTGCGTATTGCCACAGGTATGTTATAATATCTTTGCACACTCCTCTGTATTTACTATTTGTTCCTAACGTGTACATCTGTATGTCGTAACGTTCTAGTTTTGAAATTTATGCGGGCAAGCGCAGCTCTAGTGACGGTGGTGCAAGCGCATTCGATCACAAAACTGGAGCTGCCGCCGTCGTTCGAAATCTGAAGATAGTGCTCGACAGCAATGCACGACACGCTTGGCACCTAGTCGTCGTCGACCGCTTCTATTCCTCCATTCTTCTGGCGATCGAGCTGCTTGCTATGGGCGTGTACGTGATCGGAACTATCATGATTGACCGTCTCGGACTGGACCAAAACATCGTAGAGAAGCGGAAGTCGCGACCAGCGTTTATTCCTCGCGGCACGTTCACGTTCTCGCGCTCGGTCGCAGTTCCAAGCATGGTAGCGCTTCACTGGTGGGACCGCAAGCCGGTACACTATCTGTGCACGGGATCAGCGATGACAGCTTCGACAATCGACCGCAACGTCAAGCAAGTGGGCCCCATTACGGTGCCGTGTCCGGCGGCCGTGAACGACTACCAGCGCTGGATGGGTGGCGTAGATGTGAATGATCAACTGCGCCTACAAAAGTTCTCGCTGCAGAAATCTACCAAGTTCAGAAAGTATTACAAGAGCTTGTTTTTGGGCTTCGTGGCTCTAGCCTTGGTGAACGCCTACATTTTGCACAAGGAAGCAGCACGACTTGACGGGGCTGTGCCGCTGAAACGCGGTGAGTTTTTTGGCGTATTGCAGAACCAACTTTTGCAGCTCAAAGCCGATGATTTTGACGGCGTGGATGCTTCGCCGCTACCAAGCAGCCAAAAGCGCAGACGTGGACCGGTTCGCCTCACGCATGCGCTGGAGCAATCCGAAGACTGGGTGACCGTCAGCGGTGTTCAAAAGCGTCGGCAGCGCTCATGTAAGGTGTGCTCTCTCCTGCGTACAAATGGAAAGAAGAAGTCGTTCGCTACCACGTACTTCTGCGAGCGTTGCTCTGTCGACGACGCCAAATGCTGGCTGTGCAACAAGATCCGTCGTGAATACAAGGGTGAGGAAAAGACATGGTGCCAGTCCTTCCAGGGCAGTAATGATAGCCATCGTTGATGCGTGTTAGTTTTGGCTGGATTGTGATGGCAATTTTCTTGAAGTCTTGCATCTTTTGCCTTGTCTTTTTCCTTGAGTCTGGATTCACTGTACAGAGTTGTGCAGCCAAAAGGGGTAAGTTACAACATTGTGAAGATGCCGAGACACCGGAAGTCGTAAGACTTACGACATTGCGAGAGAGAACCTGCGCAAAACTAATGCACCCAGGATTATGCACAGCATACAAATTCCCAGTGAAAAAACAAAGTCGTAAGATACGACATAGAGTACCGTAGTTAATGTGTTTTGGGTCCTGAATTCCGGGAACCAAGGGGTTAAACATTGTTGAGGTCTGCTAGGTGCTCGTTGCAGCTTTGGTCTCGGTAGGCGCCACCTTGAGTCCTTTCTTGATGAGATCCGCCTTCATCAGTTTATTTAAGCCTTGAACGACCATCATCGCTGCAGAGATCCAAGTCATGTATAACAGTCAGTGATCAAGTTCAGCTCGAAACCAGCAGGTGGAGGGGGCGTACCTCGTTTGACCGCAAAGTAGAGAAAGATGGCATTGATGAAGAAGCGCACGACGTTCTCGATGAAGAGTCCATAGTTGACAGTGATAGCTCCGTGGTCGCGAGCCATTTGAGGGGTCTCCCACGTAGCACTGCTGCAGTCTTTGCGGTCGTTGGGGCACCTTGCCACGGCGTAGTAGTTTGCCAAGCTGCGCGTCGACACGAGACTGAGGATCGGCGACAGAATGTCCACCACCAGAGACTGGAGGATCGCCGTGAACGACGTGCCCATGATCATACCGATGGCCAGGTCGACGATATTACCGCGCTGGATGAACCCCTTGAAGTCGGCCACGAGCGCGTGCAGCTCGTCTTGCGGCGAGATCGACTGGATGTGGTTCGTCACTTTGTCCATCAACTTCTCGACGTCATCCGCCGATATGGAGACGCGCTTGGGGTCATCTACCGCAGTCGCGTTCAGCTTTGACTGAGGGGCGGGGACAGTCTCCATTCCGTCCCAAAGCTCTGCAAACTGGGGCATCTCAACCTCATCACCTTCTCCATTTCCACTCACGTAACTCCGCTATTTCCAGACCCAGCAGCTCAATTTGGCGCCACGCTCGACGTTCAGTTTTCAGTCACTTCATTATTACAACGACATTTAACTCGACTGCCTTGGACCCCCCATTCTAGATGCTGTGCACCCGAGTGGCACGCGCCAAAGCTTGACTCTCATCCGAAGGCATGTCTTCCTCGCGGATGGCGGTGATGGCCTCGGTGAACCCGATCCGAGCATCGCTGTGCACGATACCCACGAGGAACTCGGACGTCTCAAGTAGATGCTGCAGGCGGTCTCGTGCGTTCACGATCGCCAGCATGATGCCTTGTCCGCGAAGCTCGGCCTTCAAATGCTTCATCATCTGGATGGTCGTGGTATCCCAGTCCATGATGGAGCCTGCATCAATCACCACACCACGGACTCGCACGCCCTCGGTCTCGTGGCGCCTGCGCACCTCCCGTTCCACCACGCGCTCAATGTATTCGCAGTTAGCGAAGTACAGAGCGCCTTCCACTCGAATCGCCACGATATCAGACAACGGATGCGCCGTGTCGGGGTACAAGTCCAACTCTACGATCCGCTTCCCCCCGGTTTCCTCGTCGATAACCTCACCCAGCATGGACACGGTCGGGCGACGAGTCTTGTAAATCACAGCAATCAGCGAGCAAAAGATGGAGGACAGAAGTCCAGGCAGCACACCCAGCAGACACGACAGCACAAATGACGCCAGCCACACATAAAATTCGTCGCGCTTGACACGATACAGCCATTTGGCTTCCTTCATCTCGATCAGTGAGTAGCCAGCGACGATGATGATGGAAGCGAGACTTGCCTTCGGTAGGTACGCGAGAGCTGAAGTGGATGTGTACAGCACAAACACCACGACCAGCACTCGCAAGCTGTGTGCGGGCGTTCTGCATGTTCACCGCAGTACGCGAAAGACCTCCGGTGGACGGCATACCCTGGAAAAAAGACCCAACGAGGTTGGAGAAACCCAGCGCGATGAGCCTTTGGTTCGGCCTGATCCTGTAGCCTTCTTTAATCGCGAGACGCTTGGCCATGGCGACACTGCACATGTACGAGATGATGGCAATCGACAGCGTGTCGATGAAGAGGTGGTACAGACGATCAGCCTCGATAATGTTCGTACTCAATCCATACCAGGGCCTTAGCGGCGATGGATAACCACCGGGGACATCCCCGGCAAGAGCAAGAGAACCTTCTGGGGCCAAGTAGCCAACGATTCCACCCAGCAGACACACCATGAACGCACCCAAGTCGCACACCAACCGCAGCGCGATCAGCACAGCCATCTTCGAGCGCAATATGCGAATTGACGTCGACGACGCTGCAAGGATGCGTCCAGTAAGCGCCGTAGTCGAAGTCGCCGATTCCGACCCAGTCTCTGACTTCGCAGGCGAAGCAAGCTCCTTCACACGTCTCTTCATTTCAGCCTCAGCCTTGGCATCTGCGTTATCGTCGTCATCAGTATCTCCGCCACGGTTGCGCCCGGGTCTCTCCACCTTAGGCTGGGTTGGGTGCATCCTAGGCAAAGTCCGCGCTCATCCGAGCTAGAACGGTGCATCCCAGCAGCAGCATCAGGGGGAGTGCCAAAGTCCAACGGTCTCTCAATAGTAATGTAATCCTCGTCCGAAAGCGAAAAGCCCACACCTTCGTCGTCCATGCGTCCATGACGAGTGCTACGAGTAATCGCAGCCAGGTCTCTCTGACGAGTAGAGCGAGCCAGATCCAGGTCGTTAGCACCAAGATCTCGACTATTGCGTGACGATGAGGCCCATGGGGACGACACCATGAAGTCCCGACGTCGCAGCGAGCCCGTCGTGGACACAGCGGGCAAGTCGGCCCACCTCGATCCACGCGGCGATACCGTCACGTCTTCCACGTCCAAGTTGGCTTCATCATCGCTCCTCTTTGGCTGGCGTTTCTTTGGCTTGGGGGCGTCCCCCAGTTCGATATCTCCACCATAGCTGCCCTCCGCTTGTCGATCATCCTTGGCGTCCTGACTGTCCTCCTCTTCGTCCTCACTCATGTCACTCTGCTCGCCGTTCGAGCTCATGCTCATGGACAGTTGATTCAGCGCCCTGGACGTCTCAATCGCGAACTGGTCCTCGAACTCCTCCTCGACTCTAGCCAGCTTCCTCACCACGCGGCGTTTCAGCTCGTGCATGCCCACCAGCACCAAGATTGAAAAGGTACCGAGTGCAAAGCTGAAGGTGTTGAGGTGTGGCAACTGCTCCATCAGATCCCACACCGTCAGCACCGGCAGATCCTTGCTCTTGATGTCGATCCCCAGCCACAGATTCATCTGGGACAGCATGATGAGTACACCTCCGGCCGAGATGAATCCACCCATGACGGGCCTTGAGAAGAAGTCGGCGATGACTCCCAGTCGGAACATCCCCATGAACAGCAGCACCACGCCACTCAGGAAGCTCAGGAGAATACCGGTAGCGATCCGTTCCTCCTCACTCTCCACCTTCTTGATGGCCGAGCCCACGAGTAGACTCACTTCAGCTCCGTTGGCCACACTCAGCACCCGGGAGGTGCCGAAGAGCGGGTAGATCATGGGTACAACCGCGGCCGTGTATAGCCCGTAGATGGGGGGTACGCCCATGATGGCTGCAAGGGATACCTCCTGGGGTACGAGCATGAGCCCGACCGTAACCCCGGACACCACGTCGAACTGCAGGTCCTCACTCAGGTCGTACGCCGGTAGCCATTCTAAGATGGGTACATGTTGCTTGAGGAAGAAGAGTAACCTCTGCCGGGTTACGTTCTGCCTCGCCTCGCACGCGGATGCCCAGAGCGACGCCAGCGCCGAGGTTACGCACGCGAACGAGAGCTCGCTGGAGCCGGGGGACGGCGGAGAAGAAGAAGAAGACGCCATACAGAGCGCCCCACCTGGGCGAAGAACTGGCAGCGCAGGAGTGAGATCTGCCGCTGTCGGAGCACTGACGTGTCTGTTGGCTGTCTCTTTCGGTAAGGAACCAGTTGACTTGCTTTTTGTATGGGGCATCATGCTGCAAATCGTTACATCTGGAGCAACCAATGGTACAGTGTACCTTTCACTACCAACATGGCTACACTCTTTTCCGCCGCTCTACGCCAGATCAAGGCCGCGCGCAGCCGTCCGAGCCCATGGCCAACGTCAGCATCAAGCAGGAGTGCGTACAGACCAACGGGGCTCAGGCCAACGGCGCAGCGGGCGACGCCGTAGCGCAAGCGGTGAGACTGATATGCATCCATCACTTTGACATGACATGCGTGTTATCACTAATACTACTGCACCTGCATTAGCTATCAGCGGCGTACCAGGCGGCGGTGCCCGACGACGAGAAGGACCGCACCAACCTGCTGCTGACCCACGCGTGCAGCTGCGACGACGCGCAGTGCCGACACCCCGAGTTCCGTGCGCTTTGCTCGCACATGAAGCGCTTCCTGCGCGCGGCCTGCTGGGCGTCTCACAGTGAACGCTGGCGGTCGTACCCCATCGCCACGGCGGTCGTCGAGCTGTTCACGTACCACGCGCTGCACTGCCAGGCGCTGCAGTGCGATGTACCCATGTGTCGCCAGCTACGAGGCCAAGTGCTGCTTTAAAATATCCTTCTCTTCTTCTTATCTCGACAAACATGGCTACATTTGTGGAATGATGTGTTGGCTAATTGTGACCGAGCTGGTGTTTGTTATTATTGTAGGATAAGTAGTATTTGGCCGGACACCCGACCCCTATGCAAAGCTTGCCACCTCGCTGAAGCCAATCAGTGATTTTTTTCTTACCGTTTGATGCTTAATTACCTATTTTCATCTAATCGTCGCTCATTAGGGTTAGGTTTATTCCATTCCTACTTATTTCTGGAATCGTCCGGAATTTCCTGCTTCGCGCAAATAAGTAATCATACAAAACTAAAGATGTTTCTCGTTCTTACTCGATAAGTGCTATACCTGCCGGATGTAGCCACATTCAGACTTGCCCAAGACTGACAGCGAGCTTCTCGTGGTCTCGACAACCGTCGCTGGAAGTTCAAGGCCGACTCCAACACGCAAACCGCTGTGCCGAGTGAACGAAAGGCAGAATAAGCTCAGTAGATAACTAATGTCCTAGATGATCATCGAACTTCCGAGTTTTGCAAAATTCTGTAGTCTCTACTGGGTCTAGCTACGCATTGGTCGTCCCGACCGTCCACGTTGGGCTGCCTTGCCGCCGCATCTACTTCAGCGTCTTCCCCGCTCGGACTGCGCGGCACAGCACAGCACCCGGGTGTGTATGATGCCGAGGCCAGCGTCTCGTGTAGTCCAGCCCACTCCGCGCGCGCCTGCTCCTCCTCTGTGACTTGTCCTCCAGCCCCCCCCCCCTCACCCTCCTGCACGTACAGCCCCTTGACCTTGTGCTCCAGCTGTGCCAGCAGCTCCTGCTCTTGGCGGGAAGGCGCCACCTCGATGGAAAGCTTCCTTGACCTTGCTCTCGAACTTCACGTGCTTCTTCGTCGTGACTGTTGTGATGCGGGTCGCGTCATCGCTCCGACCTCGCTGCTCACCGCCTTCGCCGGCACCGTCTCCTTCGTCTCGGACGGCGGACGCCGCTTGGAGCGGGTGGTGGTCCTCAGTCGGCCGCACTTCACTCAACGCGCAGCCCCGCTTGTCGCCGTATGCGCCTCGAGCTTCTCCGTCTCCTCTTCCTCCTTCTCACGTGCCTAATCTTTGCCCGGCACCACCGCCCCGTGCGCGCACTACTCCTGCAGCGCCTCCTGCCTCACATCGCGCTCGCTATGCGCTGCCTGCGCATCGGCATCTGCCGCGTCGCCTCCATGGCGTACAGCTCGGCCTCGACGGAGAGGCTCCTAGGGCCGCACGGCGTCACTCAGCGCCTCGAAGCGACTGAGCATCCACTCGTCGCGCCCGCCTCCTCCTTATGCTCGCGCGGTCACGTCCAGCTCGCCCGCTGGAGCGCCTCCTGACGGCACGGCGCTCTGCTCGTTCCTCCTCGCGATCACGCTGAAGCTGTGGCCACCGCCGATCACCGCTTTCGTGTCGCCGTGGTGGGGCACAACAGCATCTACGCCCACGGCGCACCGTGACCTGTCCTCTTCCTCGCGCTCCAGTCCTCCGCCATGCACTCCTAGCCGCCTGCCATCCGTCCCTGCGTCGTGCTTAAAAATACTGAACCGAGATGTTTACAAATTGTAAATTACAATAGCCCGATTTTCATACCTTTCTATCGCTGTCCGGAATGAATAAGTGGGCCTGATTGGCACAAGTGATTTTATGTTTCGCCAGTGTGTCTCTATTGCAGGTTTGACAGGTTTCCGGATTCCGGTCCGGAATCTGGCAATTACTGTCGTTGCGTATCACATTGTCTGTTGGTATTTCTGCTGCTTAAAATACTCGCTCGTACTAACTACAGCGCATTTGATCAGGGAACGAGTATCAGCAGTGCAAGCGGGTTGGCTAGCAGGGCGCATGGATCCCCGTGTCTCTACTGCTTCAGGCCCGAAGGCCAAACGGTGGTCCAAGAACCCTGGATCGTCGCATCTGCTGCGAAATGTCAGGACTCTCAGTGCGGAGCGCCTCGCTGTGGAAGCCCCAGAAGAGGAGGGTCGGCCGCAAACATGCCCCGCGCCGACGTTAACGCCTCACCTGCACTGGAACCTGAACAACTCAGCTCTCAATATGCTGCCAAAGAACCAAGTCGAAGAGCTGTACGGGTTGTTCATGTTCTACGACTCGTCCACGATTGGAGACGCGCTGCCTTCGATCAACTGTACGCGGTTCATGGAGCTCCTGCGCGACGCCGGACTGCTCAGCAACAATGATGTTATCCCTAGTTCCAGCTCGGTTGTGCCACCGACGGAAGGACTTCGGGTTGAGAGTGTCGAGAGGATCTTCGCACAGGCTGTCATGGGCAAAATGCGCGTCTACTTGGACGCAGACGACCAGCCAGCGCTGACGTTCTCGCTCTTCTGCGGCGCCATCATGAATTGCGCGATGCTGCTGGTTCCGTCGGAGCATCCCACCGACGCGTTACGCCAGACTCTTCCGAGGCTTCTCGCCTGCTCGATTGGCACCGAGCATCACGCTTCAGCGGCGAAGAAGGGCTTGATCGGACACCTCCCCACGGGTGGCACGCTTTCGTGTTGGATACCCGAGCAATCACATGCTCCGCTCCCTCAGCCAGAAGACGGTCAACAAGACTTCCGAGACCTGCCGTCTTTCCAACAAGTCATCGCCGACTGTGAGAGCGACATGGCGCTCGAGGAGCTCAGGCAGGAGAGAGTGGCAAAGCTCTACCATATCCCTGATCGCCTGCTTGCGAGCTTCGAGCACGACACGATCGCACTCATTTCGGACAAGTTCCGTCTGTATGATGTCTCTGAACGCGGAGTGCTGCCACGCCACGAGATATTCGCGCTGCTCTCGGGTCTGGGCAAACGCGTAGACCTTCCTGATCCGTACTCGGTGCTCCCGAGGCTCTTTGCTTCTAATAACCCGATGAGTGGTGGAGGCACCGGCGGTGGAATTAGCAGCGAGAGTGAGATGACATTAGCGGAGCTGCTCCTAGCCATTGAGGTGACTCGAGAGGCCAAGCGACATTCCTCCGCAGCACGCCTTGCCTCGATGAAGATCCGACTGACCCGAGCAGCTACGACAGCCAGACACAGCCTCTCCTTCGAACCAAACGCAGACGATGACAACCAAAGTTTACTGGAACTGAACGATGTTCCAGTGCAAGACAAAAGCGCCAGCACGGAAGGCTCCAAAGGTGCCAAAGAGCGTGGAAGGAGACGGGGTGTATTGAAGCCACGCAAGTCAACGCTAAGCCAAGCCTCCGATTCAGACGGTCCGATCCGTATGACGAAGTCGCGCGGCTCCAAGGCGCACCTCGTTCACCACCCGTCCACTGCTAACAGGAGAAAAGCCGTCTTGCCCTGGAGGACGTCGTCGATCAACAGCAACAAAGCTGAAGCCATGACGTCCGTGGCAGCAGAGTTGATTAACCAGGAAGAGCCGACATCCCGGAGGCAATCCGCGCTGTTAGCCACAGCCAGAGAGAAAGAGCCCACAGTTGTGGAGGCGGACTCCTTGGACACTAACATTCCCAACAGTAATGACACCGTGAGCGCTCTTCACCAGGTTTCCGACGCAGACCATGAGCCAGAGTTGCTATGCCCACCGATTATGACGATTGAAGTGTGTGAACCCCCAAGTGCAAGCAACAGGAAGACGATCCGTATCTTCTTGCTGCTCGGTGGTGACCACGATGGAGCCATTTGCTGCACCATCTCCCTCGTGTTTGCGACCAAAGAAATCACCGAAAGCGAGGGGATATTCTACGCGACAGCACCAAACGAGACGACACGAACGAAGCCCGTGTTGCCGACTCAAAAGACTTTGGCCACCGCGCTACGTATGCTGAAGAAGTGCGTGATAACCAGAATGGAGCGCGGTTTCGAGCAGCGTCCTGCTGGCCAACTCATTGTCGTGGATAAAATGCTGCAAGATCTGAACGAACGACAACCGCACTACAGCACCCCCGTTATCAAGACGTCGCGGGATACTGCAGTGCTACCTCCAAGGCAACCCCTTGCTACCGCTTCAGTATCTCAAAGGTCCGAAGGGTGCCGCCAAATCTCCTCGGCTCCATCAGACCATATCCACAGGTTACCATGGCAACAAGCGAAAGTTCCACCCCATTCAAAGTCTACCCGTTCACAGAGCAAACTCCCGAAGAACTATAAAGACCTCCTTGCAACGTGGCAGGTTGCTGGAAGCGACACGTGGGTCCACAATGTGAATGCGGCATCGCCTCTCCAGCCGGCACTGTACACATACCACCAAGCCATGCCCTCTCGTAGTGGCCATCTAAGCCCTCTTCGATTCCCGTCGAGACTAGGCAGCCACATCAAAAACACCGAAGAGCCTTGAGCTCAACCAACCCTTCGTTCGACAGTCTTCAGATTGCGGCGAGTTTCTCTGTCTTCGATTCATTGAACTCCTAAAGGAGACCGACCCTCATGCTTGTCTGTAAAAATACCTGCCTCTGTCTTCCAAGAATGGCCTTCCTTGGTACGGAGAGAGTGGAAGTATCGATTGCAAACTCATTCATGAACGCCTGACAATCGAGAGCATGGATACTCGAGTCGCCACCGCTCCCACTCCAGGAGCCAAAAAGTGCACAAAGACAAATGTCGGCGGCTCGTCGTGTCTGCTGCGTCAGCATTCCAACAAAACTGTCAACAAATATCGTCCTGAAGCCACTGCAGCAACCGAAACTCACCGACCGAACACCTGTCCGGTGCCTACTTTGACGCCGCAGTTCCACTGGAATTTGAACAATTCAGCGCTCAAGACACTGACGCAAAACCAGGTTAACCAGCTCTACGGGTTGTTCAAGTTCTACGACTCCTCCGCAGTTGGAGACGACCTGCCCTCAATTAACTGCGCCCGACTCGTCGAAATCCTCCGCGACGCCCGATTGATAAACGAAAGCAGCAGCAGCGGTACTAACGTTAGCTCCGTGATGCCGTCAACTAGGGGCCTCCAAGTCGACAGTGTCGAGCGCATTTTCGCTCAGGCAGTCATGGGCAAGATGCGCGTGTACTTGGACGCGGACGGCCAGCCTGCGTTCACGTTCCCTCTATTCTGCGGCGCGCTCATGAACTGTGCAATGCTGTTAACTCCACTGCCACACCCTGAGGCTGCACTTCGTCAAATTTCCCCCATTCTCCTTGAGGGCTCAATCGTAAATGGGCATCACGTCTCCGCCGACAAAGGGATCCTTGGGCTCTTTCCTAAAGACGGCGCGATCTCGATGTGGACGCCTGGCCAGTTGCAGGATCCGCATCAATCGACCGACGACTTTCGAGAATCGACACCATTCCAGCAAGTGATAGCAGACTGTACACGCGATAAGGCTCTGGAGGAGCTGAAGCAGGAGAAGCTGACGAGGTGCTATCATATTCCTGATCGCCTGCTTGCAAGCTTCCACCGAGACACGATCGCGCTCGTTTCCGACAAGTTCCGCACCTTTGACGTGTTTGATCGCGGTACTTTGCCGCGGCAGGAAGTCTTCCCCCTACTTTCGAGTGTGGGCAGACGCGCAGACCTCCCCGATCCATACGCAGTTCTGGCAAATCTGTCTGCGTCAAATGGCCCTTCGTCGGAGATGAGTGGTGGCGGCGGTGAATTGACACTGATACAGCTGCTCCAAGCCATTGAAGCGACCCGAGACTCGAAGCTGCATTCAATCACAGCTCGACTCGGCGCAATGAAGGTGAACAACCACCCACGCGTGGACCCAGCGACTGAAGACGAATCTGCTTTGGATGGACATTTGCCTCCCGCCATCAAGGAAACTGCGGACGACGAGACTGACCATGATCACACCGCAAGCTCCACTCACCACCATGGCAATGCTGGTGGCTCCATCAGCAAAGAGCGGAAAAAGTTGGGAGTGCCTCGCTCAAAGTCTCGACGGTCTATGCTATCGCAGCCAAAGTTCGTCCAGCTCCTCGAGTCACTCGCTGATAGGTAGTAAGCACCGCGGCGGGTCTAAGAACCGCCTCGCTCATCACGCCTCCACCTCAGGCAAGAAGATAGAGCTGCGACGAAAGTCGTCGACAAAAGGCCGCATTCTCGGCATTGCGACTACCGACTCGGAGAGCCATGGATCGGTGATGCAGTCGATGGAGTCAGGCTCGCACTCCCATCGCTCGAACAACTCCGACAGCTCCGATTATCAGGAGACGGCGGGCTCCATCACTCCTCGTACTGATGACTTCAGTACCGATCGGCGCAACAGCAGGTACTTCGAGCACAATGGACACGTGAGCACAGCGGCGACTCACGTGCATGAACCATCGAGCAACAGCAAGACACTTCGCATCTTCTTGCTGCTGGGCGGGGACCACGACGGCGCCATTTGCTGCACGCTTTCGTTGAAGCTTGCAACCCGCGAAATTGTGGAGAGCGAGGGGACTTACTACTCAGCCGCACCGAGCGAAATCACGCGACTGATGCCCATGCTGCCCACGCAAAACAGTCTCACCAACGCGCTGCTGCTGCTCAAGAAGTGCGTGTCGATCAAACAGGAACGCGGCTTTGAGCTCCGCCCCGCTAATCAACTGGCTGTCGTGGATGACATGCTGCTTAAGCTCAAAAAGCGAGAGCCACGCTTCAGCATCGCTCTGAAGCCCGGGCCCAGAGCATCACTTGCCGCCGCGTCAACGGTAAATCTGAGTCCAGCTAATCCAGCAAACACCACGAAGGCGGAGGAGGAGGAGGGAGGAATATTCACTTCGTCCTCTTTGGACTTGATTCCTGCTTTGAAGATTGAATCCCGCCCAATTTTGTCATCCCCGCCACGGCAGCAGAAACCTCTCTCTCTTCCCAAGCCTGCGTACAAGCATCAATTCGAACTTCCGAGCAACTACAGAGATATAGTCGCATCGTGGGAGGTCTCCAAAAGCGACGTATATGCATGGGTCCACGCTGTAAACGCCGCGTCGCCACTGAAGCCGGCTTCACCGCTCCGCACCAAAACAAAACCCCATCGAAGTGGCCACCTCAGTCCGCTTCGACTTCCGCATAGACACGACTATTAGAGGACCACAGTCGTCGCCCAGAAACCCAACGCAATGCACTCTTCATCGTAACTCTTCGTTCTGCGTCACACATAGAAAAACGGCATTCCTTCAAAACCCTCAGATCAGTTACTTATTAGCGTCCTCGGGATGGATAATACGCCGCCCGCTCGTCGCCTTAGACGATTTCTTCTTCACGAATTTTGACGCAAAGCGGGACATTGCACTGCTCCAGCTTGCAGTTCATAGCGTGGTACGCAAAGAGCTCGGCCGTGATCCGTGCGAGTCGGTAGGAGCGCCATTTGTCGCTGTGCGATGCCCAACACACGCTGCGCAGGAAGCGCTTCATGTGGGGACAGAACACATGGAATTCCGCGTCCGCGCACTTGACGTCGTCGCAACTGCACGCGTGAACGAGCAACGCGTTTGCTGACTCTGGGTTTCCTTCCAGCGCCTGAGAGATCTGTGCACAAGATAACAATCGTTAGCCAGCACAAACTCGTGAAAACAATAGCAACCGCGTACCGGGAATGATGCCGGTCCATCTGCCCCTCCATCCGCTGCCGCTACGTCGCCACTAGTCGGCGCCTCTGGCTCCGTCTCGTTCGTCTGCACTGCGCCAGCATTTTCCACTGCTGCGCCTCCAGCCCGCAGCTGCTCCGCCATCACCCGCACGTCCACCGCAGCACTAGCCGCTTCGGTATCCGGATACTTGACCCGGCACTTTGGACAGTACCACGTGCCCTCGGGCACCTTGGGCAGCGGCGGGCTCAGACAGAAGACGTGGTACTCGGCGTCGCAGTCGTCGCAGAGCACAATGTCGCGCTCGCGCTCCGAGCTCTTGCACACCTCGCACACCGTGTTCTTGTCCTCCTCTTCCGCCTCCTCTGCGTCTGCGTCTGCGTCCATCTCCACGTCGTTGTCTGCAGCTGCAGCGTTGTTCTCTATTGGCTCCTGCTGCTGCTGTTCCTGCTGCGGCTGCTGCGACGCGTCCGACTCAAAGTCGCTGAGCTCGTCCATGGGGTTCACCTCGCGCATGTCCACCTCGCTGGAGGACTCGCTCTGGTAGCTGCTCGGGTCGATGAACTGCGGGCTTTCATTGCTGCCCTCGGACGGCGGAGCACGTGCAGTAGCTCTACTGCCTGTCCTCGTTGACACCATGCTTGTATCGCTGCCTGGGCTCGGTGCTGGACCTACTCATTCAGCGGCGGTTGGGCAAAATATAATAGGTGGTTAGCAAATTAATGTGATTTGGGCCAGAAATGTGATTTGGGTACGCACGTTCGGATTTGACTGGCGGCGCGTACCGGGAGCCGCCGCGGCCCACGCTGGAGGACGGCGGCGCCGCGCCCGGCAGCTTGGCGATCGTGCGCTGCACGAACGCGTCGATGCGCTGTAGGTCCGGATCGCGCGCCACGGCCGTCTCCCAGTTGTACAGCGTTGACGAGCTGGCCATTTTGAGCAAAAAGCAATACTAGTGGTTCTCACGGTTGGTAGATTTGCAGGTTTCAGGAAGATCTAACCAATCAGCGTAAACCTGCAGGTGTGTTCAGAAAGTGCATTGCAGGTTAGCCAGCATACTTTGTGACTTGCTGCAGGTTTGCAGGTAAATCCTATTGGCTGATGAAACCTGCGGACCTGAGAACCACTAGTCCAAAGTCAATAATATGGTCACTCAAATTGATCAGTACATTTAATATTATTGAAGATACCGTCGGCATGTTGCGCGTCGCTTACGAAGGAGAGCGAGGTGCCATTGTAGTTCTGCTCTTGTTCTCCCCGCCATCCCCCACGCACTGTGCGCTCCACCAGCCGGCAAGGGCATTTACCTAACTTTAGATGGCTCCAGCTTACCTTACACAAAAGGAGGATCTACGCGCTCTTTCAAGGCGTAGCGACAGGTGCAGTCCGTGCAAATTTCTCCGAGGGCAACTCACCCCTCAATCACTGAGCTACGGTATGATTGTGCGTCCGGGGACCCGAGCGAACGACCGACCGCTGTCGAAGCGTTATACAAACTGCAAGCTTAGCTTTAGACCAGGGCTTTATACCATTAACTGGGGGAAAATATGCGGGCTACGGCTTGCAGGTGTACGCCCGACTACTTCGTGCTAAGGAAATAGCTTTCATGACTATCCGGATACAGATAGACATCAATGTGTACACTACAGTACTATTTTCTCTTTTTTTACCTGCTTTGGCTACAAGCGTCGCTCATAGCTCTGTCACTGTATTCGCGAAAGCCGAGGAAGTTGGATACGCGATCGCCGATGACATTCGTTCACGGACGCGCTGATGACGATGGCGGCTGGTGTCCATAAATCTGCATGTCGAGAACTGGATGGCACAGTATATTGGTGCACTTCACCAACTCTGTGCCCGAGTGCGGTAGATATTTGCTCAAAATAGCTACGAGGTGATCGTGGTGACCCTGGCATGCATTGTACTTAAGAGCAGACAAGGCCACTTTGGCTACAATAGGTACTCTGCGACTTTAATGAGCCCGAGGTGTGCTCAACTCCACGGACGGCATAGATAGGTGTGTTAGAGGTGGGTAGTAATCACCATTTCCGTGCATCAGGTCGTCGTCTGTACGCGGCAGCAACTTGCCGAATAATTCCATACCAAGTGATGCAACAACTCCTCTCCATTCCCGAACCGACCTACAAGCACTCAAGGCGTGAAGAGCGTTCTCAATCGGGCCTGGGATCACCAGCATGCGTCAGGGATGCTTCTTTCTGATAGCCGTCGCCTTCGCTGCATGTATCCAGGCTTTTGCTATCGCCGAACAGGCCAACGCAATTGCAAGCCTCCGAAGCAGCAGTTAAACGGGTGACGGAATGGCACCACCAATGCTGAGGCCGAAGAGAGAATGCAGACGCAAAGTGAACTCGTTTTCTACCAAAGAGTCCAGTGTTGTCAAGAAGTTGAAGGAGTATCCGACCTTGACCAAGACGCTGAGCGGCAATTCATCGCTTCTCAAGCCTTTCGAGAACAACCCTCAGCTTGTCAAGACGTTCGAGAGCTTGCAAAAGGACACGGCTCTAATGGCGAGGATGGAGAGTTTGAAAAAGAGTCCTTCCATGGACAAGCTCAAGACGGTGATCAGCAAGAATCCGAGCGCGCTGACGGAGGAAAGAGTGGAGAAGCTTGGTGCGGCCGTGCTGAAGAAACGTTCTAGCAGATTATCAAGCGAAGACGAACGGGGCTTTTTGTACGCGTGCGGAACGATGTTTTTATTCACACTTGGCGCAACGATTACACTCGCGCTAACCGCAGGATCAAGGTTGTAGTCAGGCTTCGAGACAAAGTCATAAACATCAGAGCGCCTGCGTGCCCTTGATCACCTCGCCCGTCGTGCCGTTCTCGCTGATTTAATCGCCCTCGCGCAGCAGCACCTCGGTGCCGCTCGACTTGTGGAAGCGCATCGTCTTGGTCTTGGCGTCGATGGACACCGCGCGCGCAGCCACAAAGGCACGCTTCGCCCCAGCCGCGGGCCACCACGGCTGCGTGGGACGTCATGCCGCCGCGAGACGTGAGGGCGCTCTCGGCCGCGTGCAAGCCGCCCACTTCCTTGGGCGACGTCTCCTCACGCATCAGTATACACGCGAACCACGCCTCCGCGAGGGTCGCCGCGAACACGATCTTGCCCACGGTTGCGCCCGGAGATGCCGGCAGGCCTCGGCACAGCACGTCCTTGCTCCACCACGGCCTCTTCCTCCGTTATCAGCTTTTAGCGCCAAGCGGCGGAGCCCGTGTGCTTGCAGTTGCGCGTCTGCGTCCTGCACCGTGAACTCCGTGCCCTCCACGTTCTTGAAATGCACCTCCAGCATGTAGACGGTCTCGTCGTGCTGTCTCTACACGGTCGACAACTTCTGCGCCAGCTCCGAGATATGTAGACAAAAGCCTGCACGTTCACGGCCGTGCCCTTAATCCTCCTTGCAACAATGGTATTATAATATCCAGCTCAAACACAAACTTGAAACGTTGATCTTCACATCGATATTGCTGGCGATGTTGCACGATGTCAATGCTGTCAAGCACGCAACTTAAAGACGCTGGCCGTTACGTTGCAGGATATCAATGTATCAAACTTTTCTGAGGCCGCCTAACGAGTATGCCTACAGAAACGGACGAGCCGCTTCGAGATTTGCGTTCAAGTTGGTGTCAATGAACGGGACCGGTGATTTCTCCCCGAAGTCTGCCTCACCTAGCGCGATCCGCGCTTCTTCGCTCAACTGCTCCCACATGACGAGATCTTGGAGTTCGCCAGTACCCCTTGCCGTAGTCGGTCGCAGCGTGTGAACAGGCTCTTCGAGAGAACGCACGTACGAGAGCATGGGGGTCGTCATGTTGATATACTCGACGAACTTCGGGTCGCAACCGTAACGATAGCACTCTGGCGGTTCGTTCTTCAAAATGTCATACCCTCCTTTCACGTTCCAAGTCGAGATGGCGAGAATCTTGGGGGTCTCGACCGCAGGGTTGTCCAACCACACTACGGCGCTGACCCATTTGTGTCGTTGGCCCTTGTTAAGGAAATCGACTTTATCCTTGGGGAAGTACCAGCCGTACACGATGGCCCAGAGATCCTTGTACCATATAGCTCGTCCATACACTTGCGAGCCGAGAGCGGACCCCTTGCATTTCCCGTCTATACGTCCACTTCCTTTTAGCCCCGCGCTCGTTTCACCCGCAGCGTTGACAGCAGGGTACGGGTGGCATCCGTCAACGATGTGGAGACTCGGTTTGAATTTTACAGCGGTTTTCTCGGACACGGTGACTGGCTCGGGCTGCGCAAACGGCTGTACCTTGTCGTGGTCGATAGTGACAGCCCCCGCAGCGCTGAAGGAGGCGATGGCGATTGCGGAGAGAAGAAGAGAGCGTAGGATCATGGTGTGGCTTGCAGTGCAGGAAGGCGGTGAATCTGAAAGTGAACATTGCTTCCCGAAAGGCTTGCGATCAAACCGAGAGTCGGTTGTCCCATCTTTCGCAGCATCATGCTGGGGCCAACGAGGGAGTACCCTCTACACCGTAGATCTAACAAAAACACCTGAAGTATGCTTCAGCACCGTAGTTCCTCGGATTTGCACCACAGAACAACTATCCATACCTCTTTGTATACCAGCTGGTTGCAAAAAACATGTGTCCGGGTTCACTCATTACATATTGTACTGTAGACCTTAAAACGAGTTTGTCAGCGCTCTATCAGACTCTTAGCACTACAGTAATCTGCTTGCTCAGCGAACAGGCAGAACCTTATACTTTTTGAGAAAACATGTTTCCCGAATTGTACCACACTTAGGGAGATGTATTGTTTTAGTGAACGGTGGAGTCCCAGATGAAAACTATCTCCTTAGAGCGTGTTCGCTAGGTAGCTGGAGATGGAGATGACCTCTCATCAAATCTATTTCTTGTCTTTTGATTGGTCAAAATAGTTTAGTTCACAACGTGACAACTGGAAAATTACTTCGTCTCTTTCTCCAGCTGGAGAAGGAGAAAGTAGCTGGAGAT